TGCTCCACTGCAAGAAGCATTCCTCATCGTGCTGCTGGGTACCTCTGCCGCCTCCACGCTCGAACGTTTGGTTGACAGCCTGCGACGTGCCCCTGCCGCCCCGCCACGTGTGGCCAACACAGCAGGTGCCGCAGCAGCGAGTTCCACTACCGGAGCTCCCTCGCGCGATGACGCTCGCACGCCCACCGACGCCGAGCCGCAAGCAGCAGCCGCCACTCCCGAGGCTGGGCCGCCGGCTCAGCCGCCACCAGACGAGCGCGGCCCTCGCCTCGCACTGTCTCAGGCCGAAGATGACTCCGTGGCACGGCCTGCGCAAGCTCCGAGCGCTGCCGCCCCCGCCGATTCGGAGGACCCCGCTACAGCCCCGTCCAACGTCCCTGCAGCCGCCTGGGTGCAACTTGATGGCATCGATTTGCAAACCGAGTTCGCAATCCGGCTGCCCACTATGCAGGGCGTGCCGGCATTTCTGCGGCCCGGCATACGGCAAGCCTACACCTTCTCTCTCCGAGCCTTGCGCGACGCACACTCGCGAGCCGGCGAAGTACAACAAGCCCGAGCTTGGAAGCTGTTCCTACTGGTCCCGCGCCTGCTTCTCTGCCGCGCGCGGGTTGCGGGCTCAACCGGACGCGAGGCGCTGCTCCAACGAGTGCGCGACTTCCTGGCCGGGCGCTGGACTGCCCTGCTCGCAGCAGCACGCGATGCTGCAGACCAGCTCGGCCCTGCCCCAACAGCCCATGCCGACGATGACGCTGCGAGCCTCCGACGCCGGGAGGCCGCCTGCGCGCACGTCCGCCGAGGAGAAGTGTCCCGAGGCCGGACCGTGCTTACAGCGGCGGCTCTGGCTCCGGGCACTGAAGACACCTTCGCAGCATTGTCCGACCCGGCCAGGCGCCCACCTGCCCTGCTTACCGAAATCCCCGCAGACGTGCGCGACCTCCAACCCGACGCGCCGGCCACACTCACAGACGCCGCAGTCGGTCAGGCTTTGCGTTCCTCCAGGCGCGGGACCGCTGCCGGCCTATCAGGCGCGACGTGCAAGCACTACAAGGTCCTGCTCGACGACGCTGAAGCCCTCGAGCTGTTCGCGCATGCTGCGAACCTGCTCGCCTCAGCGCAAATCCCCGCCAACATCGCTGCTGCACTTGCCGTCTCCCGCCTTACAGCGTTGCGTAAGCCTGCCGGCGGGGTGCGGGGGATCGCTACACGTTCCGCAGGCTCGTGTCGCGATGCTTGGCACGCCAATATGCCGACACGTTTGACCAGGCCACCCGCCCTTACCAATTCGCCCTTCAGACACGTGCCGGCACTGACGCTTTATCTGGTATGCTGCGTGCTGCCATCGACCTTGATGCCGACGCCACGATCGTCTCATTAGATGGCCGCAGCGCTTACGACACCATCTCTCGCGCCGCCTTCCTGTGCGAAGCTATCGCTCACAACCCCTGACAATGCTTGGAAACATTCAACCCATTGGCCTCGCTTGTCACGCCTGGCTTGTCCGAGTTGTGAGCGCCTGTCACGCAGGCGCACACCTCCGACATGGCGACAAAGAGCTATGCTGAGGAGGTTTGCCGACAGTGCTAACAGGACCAAAAGCATGACTGACCTGGACTTGTTCTTGCTCTTGCATGTCATCGCAAGTGTTCCGCCTGGTATAACTGTCTGATCCGGTTAATCTGAAGCAGGCATTCCAAGGTGAACTAGCTTTGGGGCTGTGCAGACTGCTAAGAGCAGATGCACAGTGACTCCTCACACGAGGTGGCGCGCAAGTATGCGGACGAAGTGGTGAGAGCAAGCACTGAGAAGGCCACGGTTCCGTAGACCCGACCGGATCAACAAGCACGCTCTTCGCTCACGGACCAAACCGAGGAAGAGATTGACGCCTTGCGCCGCGATTTCGTCGAGGCATGCGTGGATGCTCGACGTTTGCTGAAGCGTCGACGATACAGGTTGCAAACATGTTTCAGCCACAGGAACAGGAGCGGATTCGGTCGAGCGTGAGGCAGCAGCAGACCAACAGGCCCTTGATACAAGATGCTAGCGGCAGTCCCGAAACCGCGCAACGGCGGTAGACAGACCTTCATGTCAGGAAAGACCTCAACGCAGCTCTCGAGGAGTTGAATGACTTGCGAGCTGCAGCCTGAGTAAAACGCAGCGAGTGAGCCAAGTAAGAGCATCTTTGCTGCGCCCCTGGCACGAGGCGAAGGCAGTAAAAGTTGAGAAGCCACGGCCCAAGCCACACAGAAATTCCCGTGCGCAACACTGTGCATCCCTGCAAGACATCAAACGCATGTAGAAGCGGTGTGGATCCTTAGAGGATCAGATCACCTCATTGAGAGAGGAGGAGGCGCCGAGTGTTTTGTGGCTCGACGATCCGCGTTTTCTGTTGCATTCTGTTGCACTCCGCAGGCGACGATTCGGGACGGCTTGAAGCACACCGCGAATAGTCAGGCCTGCCGGCCAGCCCCGATTTCTGGTTTTTTCCGCCAAGCGTCAACCCGATGAGAAGGTGAGTCTTGAAAAAATGTGCATGCCGTTTGTTGTTTGCCTTGCTGTTGGGAGAGAGCGCGTCGCCGAGAGGCTTTGTCGGAAGCAGAAATGAAGGAGGATTGCGAGGCACGAGCCCGTGAACTGCTGAATGCCGAGATGGATACCAAAGCCTCTGCAGCATGCCATGCAATCACAGTCAGATAAGTCTTGTCCTCCTTGTGCTGCTTGCGTCGATGTCGACCTCTACTAGTGAGCTGGAGGCGCTTCGCATCGAGTTGAAGGAGCATGCCGAGAGGCAGCAGCAGGAAGGGGAGAGGTGCGGCATGCCTTGCAGCCTGACACTTCTGACTCCCGGAACTCTTGAGAGTAGTACAGTCTTCCACCGCGATGGGACACCATCGGACACGGGAGAGGTGAGCGCAGATCTTCTCTGTGAAAGCAGCTTCGTAGCAGAAGGGATGATGGACAGTGGAGATGGAGAAATCATTTAAAACAGAATATGTCACACCCGATAGTTAACTAGTCCTCATGTCCCAGATCACCGAGCAAGAGAAGCTGCACCATCTTGGAACATGCGGTGGTGGTCGAGGCTGTACCTGGCAGGTACGATAAGTGAGCCAACTATGCAGGCCACGAGACTTCTAGGCACAGCTCCTCTTCGCTGAGCAATGGCTGGCGTGAAGCGCTGCTTCCGCAATGGCGGGCAGATCTACTTCGGCGAGGCACGGAAATAGTGGGAAGATCCCGCATTTTGATCCTTACCATGTGTTGAGCGAGCGTGTGGTGAGAACGATGACGAAAGATCGGTTGCTGATGGGTGTCGCTGCTGGCGACAATAACTCTTGTTCGGGGGCATGCTTCTAAGATTAGGACATTGTGGGAGGTTATAGACACCATTATAGAATGTAACGGTGGTGGGGCGCGGTGGAGATGATGCTACAGTCGGGTGATTACTGTCCTGCGAGAACTATGGTGTGCTTGATGAAAGCGCCGAAAAGGGGCCGAGCTTCGGATCCCCAACATGCGTGTGAGGTCGAGGAGGCGGCAGACGGCACGTGCTTGAGACATGGCCTTGGGCTGCAACTCTTCACAGCGCGCCCGCCAGAAACCGCAGAGGATGGGCAAGCTCCGGACATTCTGCACGGTCGCTATCAAGGCGCCTGGAGAAAGGGACAACTCACTGGCTCCGGTGTTTACCATTGGAGCGATGGGACGGTATATGAAGGGTACTTTCTGGATGGCTGTCCCCATGGCTACGGCCGCATCAAGTGGCCGGAGGGTACCGTCTATGACGGGGACTGGAATGGTGGGGAGATGCATGGGCAAGGGACATACATTTGTGGATTTACGAATCTCGAAAGCCACGGGATATTTTGGCACAACTGCTTACGAAACCATGCGGGGCAATGGGTGAACAAGGTGCAGGAAAGAGAAGCTCTAAGGCAGCAGCATCTGAAGATTAATGCGTATCCCAGCACGAGCTACTTCATGCCGGTGATTCGCTGCCGTGGAAAGGAGATCTTGAGCAAAGCCTTATCGATGTCACAGGAGCCGCCTTTTTTAGTTCCCTTCCTGCTCGCCAAGCAATCCTACAGTGCCGGACCAGAAGTTTCCTTGACATCGCCACCCCCTCTTTGCTGTGCAGAAGCAGACATTCCCGGTGCCCGCGGGTGCACCTTTGGGACATCCATCCACATTTCGCACGTGGCAGCCGAGAAGCGTCGTGTGCGACACACGGACCCTCTCTTCCAAAAAGCCATTCAGACGGCCTTAGTGGAGTCAAGGCCTTTTGCCTTGATCTGGCCTGACGATGAGAAGCCAGCTTCTCCATTCTCTAACCACCAGCTGGAGGTGCCTGTAGACATTTGGGATCTCGAAAATGCCCACGCCGTCCCCAAGGAGTGGTGTCTCGATTACTTCTTCGACAAGCTCGTGCACCTAGGCGAAGAGTAAGAAACCCGAAACGATTTTGATCACAAGCAGCTAGCAACCAGTGGGAGACAGAGGAATTCCATGTCCTGGGGCGTCCCCAAGGTTACCGACTGACATCTTCGACCCGCCCCACTTCCAGTGCAGCAGCCTCGCTGACGCTTTCCTCCCAGAGTCCGAAGTTCAGAGTGCTTTCTCAAGGGATGCTTGCTGGTCCAAAGACACGAAGGCCAGGAACAAGCTCAAACCGCGGCACCTGCAACAACAAAAACTCTGCAGAGACTTTCTGAAATGTCTCCCTTCCCTGTGCTTCCCTCTTTCAATCGAGAGGAGCCAGCACACCCAGAGATGCAGCCGCCGCCAGTTCTCCACACTCTGCGCACTTTGCTGATATCGCTCAGGAAGCTGCGCAGATGCAATGAAGCCATCTCCGGTAATGAACCAGTTCTGTTGTGCACTTGCCACAAGCCAAGGGTCCCAAACGGTGCTGAAGATGAATCTATCCGGAAGCACATGCTGAGCCGTTTCGGGTCTGCGGTGCCCCTGCATCGCATTGCTGTGCTAGTAGCTGAGTAAGCCAAGGAGTTCTTGGAGTCACAAGTTTCACATCGGTCGCGCACAAACTGCCGAAGATCGGTATGCGGAATTCGCACCTCAAGTGCTTCGCGAAAAGTGGTCCAGCGGCTAACGACGACGGCAAGACCAAGGCATCTGCAATGACTTGCCCGTTGCAGCCAGGTTGCGAGAGCAATTGACACGGCAGTACATGGAACAGCTGGCCGGGTGCCCCAGCGAGTGAAGGGCTTGGTTGGGGTGATTGTGGGCATGCTTCGTGCCGGTTCTTCCTTCGGGTCAGGACAAAGCAATGGACCTGCAAGGAGGTATCCACAAGCTGCAGCACAGCTCTTGGTGAACACCGCATGCACCGAGCTGCGGAGTGCGGAGCTCTTGGAAGTTTGACCAAGGTTGAGCCACAAAGAACTCGATGAGACTGTAAAGACACGTTTGCCGAGCCCTTCGTCTGCAACCTCCGGGTGAGGAAAGTATTGAGTGGCGAAGTTAAGACTGCAGGAAGAGGGTTCAGCAAGTGCCGTCGATGTTGATGGAGACCTCATCCAGAGCTTCATGGCAAATGAGCATGAAGGCTCACTGAAATCCTCAGCCCCACTGAACCAAAGAACACACCAGATGCAGCACACGATCCCGCATGCTCGTGCAGTTTTAGAGGCCGCATGGCAAAGCCATGGTGGTCCTGGCATGCCCAAAAAGCTTAGCGTTAAACCATAAATCCCCATGACTTCCTCGACGAAGCTGCGCGGGAGTCGTTGGGTGGCCACTGAATGCGTCCCGAAAGCCGACATCTCTCAATTCTGATACTTTGGGTGTCAGACAGCCGAAGTCTTCAGGACGCATGGCCGACCCGAAGGGTCAGGCAGTCGTAGAAACCCACTTGGATCGCTTGGTTCTTCAGTGTGGTAGACCATTGGTAGATCAGCGCCGTGCGGCGAAAGATGGCGCGAGATGCTGTGGCACGGTGAGCAGTTTTCCACGAAGATCGGACAAACAATGACATGGCATTCCGTTGACGAGATCGTCCGATGTGACATCCCAAATCCCGTGGATGGTGGCTCGAAGTAGGCGAGGATTGAGGACCAGGAACTGCTTGCGCGGAAATGGCCCGATGGCAGGGCTTCCTTGGGCCGCGCCTCCTAGGAAATCCGGAACTGGCCGAGCCTCGGCAGAAGCAAAGCAGCCAAGTCATGCCATGGCCATGGTCAAAAGCATGCTTTGAAGCGGTTGGACGTTTAGAAGCAACAGATCCCCTCTCGGAAATCTGGCGTCTGCACGGCTCGGTTGCTTTGGACTCTCTTTTGAGGATGGCGCCGCTACGACAGCGCGTCCTGGGCCGAGTTCGGGGACGAGGTTTGGATGGGGTTTTTTCACCAGGTCGGAAAGAAGTGAAGAATCTCAGATTTTTTGGGGTGCGGATGCCCCCAAAATACTCTTCTGCAGAAAAGATGACAGCTGGCTCTGCGAGGTCCGGCCACAAGTGATGGCCAGGCAGGGGTGCTTTCCCAAGCGTTCGGCTTCCCAACATTGGCTTTGCATAGAGCCAGGTCGCGATGGCCAGAGCGGTGGAAGCTCCGATGCAGGAATGCCCCCTGCAATCCTTCCTCCCTCTGTGCTGTCCCTGATGCCTGACAGGCACCGCATCCGAATGGTGACGTGAGGCATGACACGCCGTGGACGTCTGCGGGTGATGCCGGTGACATTGCGCATGAAAGCCTCTGCAGGTCCATGGTTCGAGAAGCGGCACAGACAGTGGCGGCTTCCATACCGCCGGGGCCCCCAGGATACCCCAGGCCTCCTAGGCTTTGGTTGCTGGGAGCTTCCTGTCGATTGTTATACAAAACAGAGCCGCCAGGCAAAGGCCAGCTGCCCCGCAAGCTCCGGTGCAGTTGATCATACAGCTCCTTGTCTCTGTCATGGGCCATTCTGAATATAGGGGCTGCACGCTTTACTTACGTCTTGCCTGAGGAACAGCTCGTCTGTCACGACGTCGCAGCAAGTACCCGAGATGCCACCAGAACCACCAAAGATGCCCCAGCATATGTGGCAGCTGTCCCGGAAAGACCTGGTTGACTTCTGGGCCTCACCACTGAACCGCGTATGCCTCCTGGGCCTTGCTGGCTTCCTGCTCTGGATCTACCACGACAACACCCAGCAACTTGCCCTAGAGAGGGAGCTAGAGTGACTACAGTGCCGTGTCTTCTTTTTCAAGGTTACTGCAACCTCAGATTTTAAGATGAAGCCTGTTGAGCTCGTCCTTGGGGTTCGGCACTGTGACATGGCGAAGCTCGCAGGCACAAATGGCGTATGTCGCAACTTCAGCAGCGGATAGATTCCAATCCCTTCACCAAGCTCGTCGCAGTTGCCGGATGCCTCAGCATTCAGGGCCATGGCATTCCAAAGGTACCAGGTCTGGGTCCGCTTTGCTCTCTCAGATCCAGACTCCCAGACAAGGCCTTTGGCCCGTCGTCGTGGCCGAAGTGAAGACTGAGCTAGGTGGCTTAGGTAGTTCTGTCTCACCACAGCTCACCGCAGCACCATTCCTGGCTCAGAAGAAACTTGAGGAAACGCCAGGTCTTGATCGGAAGTTTGATCGGAAGTGCGCAGGATGCCTGGGTAGTCGGGTGTTCTGTCGGGGGTTAGAGTCCGCGAGCGGTCGGCTGTACTACGCAGGATGGATGGAAAAGCCTACGTGTAGCTGGAGGCCCAGTAGAGATCACCATGGATGGAAGTGGACTGAGATCCGTGTCGGTGCTTCCGCCAGTCACTATGCAAGGTCCTCCAAAGTCCCGAGTTGCTGTTGAACGACTCGTGCTGCTCCTGAACAGGTAGGCATAGGATCACAGAGGGGCGCCTGCTAACTTACTGCTGCTTACCTGGCACTTAGGCTGTGCCGGCCTCGGTCAAATTGAAGGATTTAAGTTGAAGGTAACGAGTTTCAAGAGTAAAAACCACACAAAACATCATTTATAGAAGCATGCACTTCAAGCCAGTTTTTATCCACTATCACTCGTTCTCCATAATTCAGTAACTAATGATGAACTTCGTTTTCCTTGCAGATGTTCGTCTGTCTTTTTTTCGAGACTTTCATCCGGTTTCCTGATGTTCCATCGGCTCAGTTTTTCCTTGGCGCCAAAAGTGCTGACCAAGCGTCTTTTATTATGGGCTGCCGTCAGTCGGCTTCCTGATATTCCTTTGGATCAGTTTGTCCTTGGCGCCAAAAGTCCTGACCAAGCGAAATTTCTGATGGGCTGCAGCTGCAGCCAGTCGGTGCCCCGCGAGTCGTCCCAGCCGCCGACCTTGCTGCAGAGGAAACTTGTGAAGCATGGAGTGAAGTCGAACGTCAAGGGGCAGCCCTATGTCTCGTGCCATGCCTCGGAGGGTGCGACATGGCACTTGGAGCTGCTGGCCATGAGCGCGGACCTGCGGCAAAAATTGCAAGATCCGCACTTCGTAGCCACTCGTTGCGACTTGGATGGCTCGGGCAATTTGGACGAACATGAGTTGAAGCAGGCGGCTCAGGTCTACGGCCTGAATCTCTCGGCGAGGACCGTATCAGCAAAGAAGGTTTTGCTGAACTCGTAGCCTCTCGAGGCACCAAGCAGATCAGAGCCTTTCAATCAACTATTGTGACATTTTGATACATTCGGGTAGAATCTCTGGACATGCATGGTTTTGATTTTTTTGGTGTGTCATATCTGTTGCTGTCCTTTTCGGCCATTTCCGGAGCTTTGAAGCTAGAGAAAAACACGATAGGTGAACCATGAAACCCGGATCTTTGAACCTGAAAAACACAGTAGGTGACAGGTTAAACATGAATTTTGTTTTGGAAATCTTGGGTTGATGTTCTGTGCATAATGGAAATCATCATCCGTTGATGCACTCGAATCCGTGGAACTATGCATTCGGAATGTGAACCCAAGACATTTTTGCCACTTTGTATCTTCGTTTTTCGGCCACGTTGAGGAACAATTCCACACTCGCTGAGAGGGATGGCATTGGGCCAGCTCCAGCATCTTGGAGCATTGTTCATGGAAAGTGGATGGCTCTCTGCGCAGTGCGAATCCTTCAATACGGAAAATGCCAATGCCATCGCGAACGGCACGAAGTTCCAACAAGCTCCCAACTTGTATTCCTTGGACACTTTTGTCGTGACACCCATGTCGAAACCAGGGACCTGTCCAGCCCGTGAGCAAGCTGGGGCAACAATTGCCAAAGCAGGTCGGATGTCCTCTTTCTCTGAACTGGTGAATCCCTTTGGCTTGGTGGTTCACTGCTTCGTGTCCCATTTTTGGGGCCACGATTTCGGCAGCACAATCATGGCTCTTGAGTTGTGGGCAGATGCCAATTACCAGCGGATGACATCAGAGAAGCAGGCTCTGGTTTTCTGGATTTGCCTTTTCGCATTGAACCAGCACAACGTAGCAGAGGAGGTTGGGAACAATCCCCGGCAGGGACCATTCAACGCTGCGCTGGCACAAGCCACAGGTGGTGCAGTGATGGTTCTGGATGATCAAGTCAAGCCATTCAGCAGAATCTGGTGCCTATTTGAGGTCTCTCGCTTGAAGGATTTGCAGCAACCCTTGGAATTGATTTGTCAGGAAGGTTCCCTCTCCCGGCCGAGCACCTGCGGCAACGGTGTCAGCACGAAGATGCTGGAAGCGACTTGCGAGGGCTTGTGGAACCTCTCAGCTTTCAGCGCGCAAAGTTCAGTGCTTGCAGACAAGTATCATATTTGGGCGGAAATTGTCAACGCAGCCGTGGAAGGTCCCATAAGTGGAGTTGGTGCCCAAAAATACTTTGAAGCCTGTGAAGCAGGTGGAGTCTTATCTGAAAGGCTTTTCTCCGACTTCGACAACTACCTGCATTCTTTGCTCTCTTCTACCATGCTTCAGGCGCTCCTGGGAAGAAGAGACTACGCTTCCGCAGCGCAGTGCTGCCTTAATGGAGCCCATGTTGAAGCTGATGAGCTGGAAGAGATTTGCAACAGTTTTGAAGAAGAAGTTGAAAGGCAACACTGGTTGAATAGCCTGCTGATGAAGGCATCAGTCGCATCAAAAGCTCAGCTGCTCTTAGAGCGCGGTGCCGATGTGAAGGCAGCAGACAACGATGGTGTCACTGCATTGATGTCTGCGGCTAGAGGTGGCCACGAGGCCGTGGCCAAGCTCCTCTTAGAGCACGGTGCCGATGTGAAGGTAGCAAGCAACAATGGTTGCACTGCATTGATGTCTGCGGCTGCAGAGGCCGTGGCCAAGCTCCTCTTAGAGCACGGTGCCGATGTGAAGGCAGCAGACAACAATGGTGGCACAGCATTGATCGCTGCGGCTATTGGTGGCCATGAGGCCGTGGCCAAGCTGCTCTTGGAGCACCGTGCTGATGTCAGAGCAGCAGACAACAATGGTGGCACGGCATTGATGTCTGCGGCTGCAGGTGGCCACGAGGCCGTGGCCAAGCTCCTCTTAGAGCTCGGTGCGGATGCGAACGCAGCAAAAAATAATGGTGTCACTGCATTGATGCCTGCGGCTGAAGGTGGCCATGAGGCCGTGGCCAAGCTGCTCCTAGAGCGCGGTGCCGATGTGAAGGCAGCAGACAACGATGGTGTCACTGCATTGATGTCTGCGGCTAGAGGTGGCCACGAGGCCGTGGCCAAGCTCCTCTTAGAGCACGGTGCCGATGTGAAGGCAGCAAGCAACAATGGTTGCACGTCAGTGATGGCTGCGGCTATTGGTGGCCATGAGGCCGTGGCCAAGCTGCTCCTAGAGCACGGTGCCGATGTGAAGGCAGCACACAACAATGGTGGCACGGCAGTGATGGCTGCGGCTATTGGTGGCCATGAGGCCGTGGCCAAGCTGCTCCTAGAGCACGGTGCCGATGTGAAGGCAGCAAACAACAATAGTGGCACAGCATTGATCGCTGCGGCTATTGGTGGCCATGAGGCCGTGGCCAAGCTCCTCTTGGAGCACCGTGCTGATGTCAGAGCAGCAGACAACAATGGTGTCACTGCATTGATGTTTGCGGCTGCAGGTGGCCACGAGGCCGTGGCCAAGCTCCTCTTAGAGCACGGTGCCGATGTGAAGGCAGCAGACGTGGCTAGGCTGCTCTGGCTGGGAGCATGCCAGCACTCCTGTTACACAGCCACAGCGAGTTCAAATTCGGATTGGTATCCGGGCGCATTGTACAGTCATACCGAGTCATCCCGAAAAGGTGAAGCTGTCCAAGGAGTTCTTTAGATTTCATTAGCTGCTGGATTACAGCGCTCAGCTCGATGAGTAGGATGTCAAACAGTTCTGTAAACGAATGTAGACAAGTCTAGTTTTGCTATGATTTGTTTAGCTTCTGCTCACATTCTGTGTCACTGGAGGAAGGCCTCCCTGGGAAAACCCACGCCACCGTGAAAAGCAGCGCCTGAAGGTTGTCCATCTCCAACGTCACCTGTCGCACAGCCATGGCCTACTGCAATGCTCGCGCTCTGGAGGCATGGAAGGGTGCTGATTTCCGTGACCAGACGGCCATTTCTGCCTTTTGTTCGGGTGGTTTATGATGAAACATGCAATATACTGAATGCAGTCTTAATGTAAAGGCAAGCATACATCCAACCTAAACAGTTTCATTTTGTCCCACAAGTTTGGTACTTTCTCATTCGAGTATGTTTCCCCCCGACAAAAGAGAGAAGTGTTTCAATGCCAAATGGAGTCAAACCAAGGACGAGAGTTGGGAGAGATCAATTTGTGAATAATGAGTCACAGCCATTGGCATATGCAGTGATGCTGTCCACGCTTTTTCACTCAAAGAGGGAAAGCGGATGAAGTCACAGATCATGAGGTCGCCAAAAGGTTCAAGGCGCTGCGGGTTCAGAAACTTGTGCGGATGACGTTCGTCAATCATTGAAGTTTCCTCAGCTGGACATGGTCCAGTCTTGCCGTGCATCTGTCTAGGTGCAACAATCAAACCCAATAACCAGCCTACTAGGGACATTTTAATAAATCCTTCCAAATAGTGGGAAAGCCAATCATGAACCCAGGTTTCTGAAGGTTCATGATTGGCTATCCGGCTATCCAATGTTGATATGGTTTGTTCACGATTGGCAGCATTGATCGTTCATTTTGATGCGAAGGCCACTGTGTGATTCTCCTCCACCTGCCGTTGGCGGGCTACATCATCTGGCCGACGAAGGTGCTGTGCTTCTCTGAATTTTCAGGTTTGCGTTGTCGTTTTGCGCTTTCCTTTCTAGGATTGATTTGCGCCCTCGTTTTTCACAGACCCAGCCTGTTGCGTTGGTCGGAACAAGTCGGGTAGAGCGCCTCCCAAAGGCTGTCAAAACTGAGATTCTTGTCGTCGACTCCTTTTCTTGTGCCATCACAGTAAAGTGACATGGACGTCCCATACATGAGCCACATCTCAGCGACAGCAGCAAGCAATGCAATATATGCTTCTTCTGCTTTCTTAACGTGTGATGCTGCAGTAGGGGACGAAAGGGTCTTCATAGGTATGCAGGTTGAGGACAAGGAGCCAAAGAAATCGAGTCTCTGATGACGACTTTCGAACATTTCGTCAAGGCATTCGGTGTTTGCTCACTATTTTTTGAGATGTTAATATGCAAGCGGCAGGGACTGCGGGAGCTTGGCAAGTTTCGTCCTGAGAGCGGGCGCGGGCAGGTATGCCCGCGACAGTGGAAAAGTATGGCGCGAATCTTCTGGATATCAGTAACGTTAAAACAAATGGGATGCTACGGGTCTCAAGATTCACAGATCCTTGTTTCTGAACCTCCACTGATTGCGTCTGGAGAGGACCGGCATGTGGTGCTCTAAGAGATGTTTTGTACCGACTCTCAACTTGCTTGGAGGTCCTCAAATTCTGCCGACATCGACAAGAAGAGGTGATCCATGACCAAATATAGCCCGTTGATGGTCATAAATGGTTATTTATGTCCATGATCTCTTTGGCGAGCTATCGCTCCACTTCACCTTATCTTCCTGCAGATCAAGTCACAAGTGAAAGCTGCTGAAAAAGTGAAATCCGCATTTGCTGCGCCAAGGAGTCAAGAAGTGATGCCTGGCACCGCCGACCTGTCCGTAGCGGCCAGACCACAGCGGAGCTGCGGACTCAGGGAAAAGGTGCGCGGATGTTTGGGGTGACAAGGCGACATTGGTGTCATAGCCTGGCTGATCCAGGGCCACCTGCCATGTGACCCCATGATTCTCCACATCCACCTTCAGGGGTTCGCAGCTCTGGCTTCGTGGGCTACGAATCACCGAGGTGAACGCCGCGTTTGAAACGTAGCAGTTTCTGGCTTTGGCAGCTTCACACAGAGCGCAGCTGTAGGCATGGGATCAAACTTGAGTTCCGAGTTCAAACAGTTTCAAATTCATCTTTCAGACACTGGCCCCCACACGCACCGGCCCCTAGGCCCTAGGCCCCCACCTTTCATGACTCAAGGGGCCTTTTGCCCAAGTTTTTCAGTGGATTTTGAAAACTCGAAAGTTCCAATGTGCTGCCGCCATGGACTCGCTCTTTCTCAAGGCGACCGGACGGAGCCCCTGGCGGCACCAACTGGAGGCCGGGGCGAATAGCTGAATAGCTTAAGATGAAATCCTTAAGACATGGCCCAATCCTAAGAGATGTTGAAGAAACGCATCTTGATTGGTGAGAGACAGTCCATAGTGATGTAAAACCCTGGTTGACACTGAACGATGCCACCTGATAGAAACGTGACTTACTAAATTTGATGAAGTTTGTCATTCCCTTTTCATTCATTTTGGCCCTGTGGGCCGAGTGTCATGTTTCCTCCTGGGCCTTGCTGGCTTCCTGCTCTGGATCTACCACGACAACACCCAGCAACTTGCCCCAGAGAGGGAGCTAGAGTGACTATAGTGCCGTGTCTCCTTTTTCAAGGTTACTGCAACCTCAGATTTTAAGATGAAGCGTGTTGAGCTCGTCCTTGGGGTTCGGCACTGTGACATGGCGCAGCTCGCAGGCACAAATGGCGTATGTCGCAACTTCAGCAGCGGATAGATTCCAATCCCTTCACCAAGCTCGTCGCAGTTGCCGGATGCCTCAGCATTCAGGGCCATGGCATTCCAAAGGTACCAGGTCTGGGTCCGCTTTGCTCTCTCAGATCCAGACTCCCAGACAAGGCCTTTGGCCCGTCGTCGTGGCCGAAGTGAAGACTGAGCTAGGTGGCTTAGGTAGTTCTGTCTCACCACAGCTCACCGCAGCACCATTCCGCCCAAAAGCTGGCTCAGAAGAAACTTGAGGAAACGCCAGGTCTTGATCGGAAGTGCGCAGGATGCCTGGGTAGTCGGGTGTTCTCTCGGGCTTAGAGTCCGCGAGCGGTCGGCTCTACTACGTAGGATGGATGGAAAAGCCTACGTGTAGCTGGAGGCCCAGTAGAGATCACCATGGATGGAAGTGGACTGAGATCCGTGTCGGTGCTTCCGTCAATCAATATGCAAGGTCCTCCAAAGTCCCGAGTTGCTGTTGAACGACTCGTGCTGCTCCTGAACAGGCAGGCATAGGATCACAGAGGGGCGCCTGCTAACTGCTGCTTGATGCATCCTTGGCCCAACAGTAGAAAGAGCAGGCTCTGTGCATGGTGCTAAGCTTCTTCAATACATGTCAAGCTGGTCATGTAGAGTGTTTTTTCGACTTGGCAAGTCTCGAGTGCTCGTCCCACTCGCGGCGAACCGTTGGCATCGGCCATGGCAACTCGGGCAGGTCTGGTGTTTGTTGCCTTTGCAGAAGGCACCCTGAGTTTTACAAGAGGAAAAGGTCAGATGTAGAGCAGCCGAACTTCCATGCGTTGGAACATCGACCCTGACCCATTGCCGCACAAATCATGAATCAACGAGCGAGGGGTATGTTTGCTGGCTCCCGGACCCGGCACGCGGGCTAAGGCAGCTAAGGCGTCACGACGCAAGAGCCACGCGGCAACTAAACAAACGGATGGAAAGATAACGAGCTGATTGAGTAGGTGGACAAGCACGTGCACACCCACGAGCTTGTATGGATGTTTTTTGGTAGATGCACCGGAATCAACACTTGCTCCCTCGCATTGCCGGCATTCTAGCGGCCATTCCACATTAGGCCAAGCCTTTTGGGCCGCGACCGGCGACACGACAACAGTTTCTAGACGGCATCACTGGCAGTTTGGCAATCGCCAGGCTTGGTGCCTAAATTGTGGCACCAGACTAGCCTTTGATAGGCTCAAACTCCTAGCGGGGCAGCCCTGCACGAAATCCTCCGGCTTAGTTTCACTCGGTGAGCATTGGACGCATGATTTCTGTTTTTCTGGTGAGGGCAGGGATGGCATTGTCGCTGTGGGATGAGACTGACAATGCATGCAAGGGAGGAGAACCGGGTTCGATGCGCCAGGGGCTGTAAAGCTCATCGTTAGCTCCAGCTTTTCGGTATAAGCTTTGCTGTGTAGTCTTTCATTAAAGTATTAGTCTGTATGTATGCATGTATGCGGACATGTATGTTTGCACTCTGTCTGTGTGTGTGTGTGTGCATTACTGCTTTCAAAGTGAATTATGCCGAACAGCAGTGCTTCATAAGATCAGCACTAAAAGGCACCAGATGTTACAGCAATGCGGTGCGAATCTGGGGAGCAAGGGGGCGTGCTAATGCGCGCTTTGGCATGTACCGGTGCCATCCGCCTGCAATGCACGCCATGCACGCATGTACGTACACACACACACACGCACACACACGCACGCACGCACGCACACGCACACGCACACGCACACGCACACGCGCACGCGCACGCGCGCACGCACACGCCCACACCCACACACACACACACACACACACACACACACACACACACACGCACACGCACCCGCACACCCGCACACCCGCACACCCGCACACCCGCACACCCGCACACCCGCACACCCGCACACGCACACCCGCACACCCGCACCACGCGCACACGCGCACACCCGCACACGCGCACACGCGCACACACACACACAAACATACGTACGTACGTACATACATACATACATACATACATATAATACACACACACACACTCTACACGTGCAAGTGGTGCGGTTTCCCATTTTGTCTGCATGCATCATGCAACACAGCCTTTGTCACCTGCACGCCAGGACCCTCACCAACGCGACGCATTGCTGCCAGGACGGCCTTGCATTCCATGTCCACGTTAACAACCCGGACCCCAGTCTTGTAAGCCTCTCACGAGTTCGGCGTTGCTCACACTCTTCGCGAACTTACTGGTTGTGTACTTGTTGGTGTGAACTAGTGTGTTCGCTGCACTTCTTCGTCGATTAGGTGAGCGTTCGTCGCTTAAGTGGGTGTTTGCACCTTACACAAGCCTGCCAGAGACTCTGCTAGAGTCACGGCCGTGCCTGTTTCTGATCCTCCACACGAGCAGTCCAGCACGAAACCGTGTCAAAACTGCACTTGCCATACTTGCCTGTTCAGGAGTTGCAGCAGCAGCTTGACGCACTTCGCGCCCAGCACACCCAGCTGCAGCAGGAAGGGAACACCACGTGCGCATGATGTTGCCAATCAGACTCGAGCTTGACGGTGTAGAGGACATGGTCGGACGCTTGAAAGGAACCAATTCCACAGACGTCGAAGGCGAAGGCCATCTGGGAGATAGCATCGCCGTGGCAAGTAGGGTCAGGCATAGTGTTTTCAAGCAGGATTTGGAAACATCGCCTTGACAAGTAGGGTCAGGTAACACAGATAAGCAGTATAGTAGCGCCTAGGCATTCCTTGGACAAGCGAGCAGCAGCTCTAGTTGACAACTTCTGAGATTCAGCACTGTCCCATTCAGGCAAGCCGGCTTGTTGCCAAGCAAGCTGCATTCCGCTCGGGTGGACATGTCAGAGCTCAACTCCAACTATGTTGAGCGAGCTCTGACGGGTGGGTTGGCCCAGGGCATCCACCTGACCGTAAATTACGGTCAGGACCTGGCCAACCCCACCGGGGCGGTCTCGTACTGGAGGGACAAGCAGCACTTCGACGGGCCGCCACAGCAGATGGTGCTGCTGCTTACGGAGGCGCGTCGGCTTCCAGCGTTTGGTGCATCCATTCGCATACCTTGCCAGGGTGCTGCACCTCCTGATCTCCCAGAGCCCGAAGCTCGTCCGCCGCCCCAGGCGGGCGATCAGACGGTGGCACCGTCCTGCCTGCATGCGGGTAATGACCTAAACTGCCAGCAGGAGAGTCGAGCTTCGGATGCTGCCCTTCGCCGATTTGTCGTGACAGCCTGAGTGGTGCAGCCGCGTCGAGTTTGTGATCGCGGTCCCGAAGCTTCCCGAATTCTTGACTCCAAAAGCTTAGCACCGCTCGTGGCCGCAAAGATGTTCTTTGACTTCGATCTGCTTGATGAGGCCCGGGCTGTCGCATGATTCGTACGTCTCGCGCACGGCAGTCTCGGATGCAGGTGGAAGCCTCTCGTCAGGAGGTCATGGCCCGGGTCGGAGAGCAACTGTTTGACTGGCAGTTGCTCGACTCTGGGCCGAGGAAGCAGCAGAGGCTCGAAAAACTGCTGCGGATGCAGATTCTGAAGCCAGTTCGACTGTCCAGGTCCTGGCCACACTCGAGGGCCCAGGACTCCAGGCTGACTGGGCCTTAAGTTCTGGTAGGGTCCGGCGTCGTCTTGACAAGTAGAGTCTGGCGACGAGTAGGAATCGCCTTGGCTACTAGGGCCGGGCGCCTGGCAGGAGAGCTGGGATTTGCTTTTGGCCGACGACATCGCCACGGTTCCCATTTGGGACGACACCTCCCAAGAACGCCACCTGCCTGTCCGTTCGTGTGCCCCGTTCTGTCCAACAGTGGCCGATTGAGGTTCGTGTCAGGAGATCATGCGAGAGTGCGGCCTGCCCTGCATGGACCAGAAAAAGTGGCAGTGTTGTAGCCTGCCTGATCTACTTCATCTCTCTCTGTTGCTGCACCGATAGAGTTCCACCAAGAATCGCCTGACAGGACGGGCGGTTTGTTGGTGCCCGTCATGATTTAGCACCAAAGTCGCCGAAAGTAGTAAGATTCGCTGAAGAAAGGTTCTCCAGCGGCGCGGGCTTGACTTCTTCCATGACTGCATGCTGCAGACCCGATGTTCTGGCATGTTTCGCTATGCATACTTGCGAACCCATCGTTTGGCCCTTACAATTCGCTTGCTCCGCTGCTTGGCTCGAAGCACTGTTTTTGCAAGAGCCCCTTGCCCTTCTTCAACGCTTCGCCTTGCACCGCTTGAGCAATGTCTTGGCGTCGAGCCTGTGCTGCAGTACTTGGTCAGTGGGCCAGCTGACGCAGGACGCAGTTGCAGGCCGCATTGTGGCAAGATGAGGATGCGGATGCCGCCTTGAAGATGTTTTTGAGGCCAAGCACGCCCTTGAGTCCCGTTAGAACTTTCTGAGCTGCACCTCTGCGCTGTACCTTTGTGGAGGATGCGATGGAAACCAAGAGGTAGAAAACCATCTCTCTGGAAGCAATGGCATTGCATCATTGTTCGTCTAAAACACTCCATGCATCAGCAGAAACATTGCCACTCTTGGCCATGATAGCCTGAGTGATGTCACGTGCTGAACGTCCATGGCGACTGGGGCGTGAGATTTTTGGCTACTCACCCGACTTGGTTCGCGTGCGTTTCCTCCCGCATCTTGCGATTCGCAGAAACTTGAGTTAAAATGGCCACTGAAAGCAACGGTCACGGCTCTCGCTGGTGATGTCACAACTGGCGGTCCATACTGGCCCTTGAAAGCCTTTATGGTGCAAACGATCCATGAAGTCGGTACAAGTTTGCAGGAACAGACTCAGCTTGGACGCTTCCGTGACTTTATCAGGAATATGTGCGTGGCATGATCGGCTGTCACAGAATAACGGATGTGAAATAGGTCATGCCGCTGAGGCACCTGCTTCTGACTGGTAGTGGGGGTACGTCTTAAAAAACTGCAGCGGTGGACGAGACATGGACATTAGCAGCCAAAAACAGCAATGCTGCTTCAGACTATTCCCTGTTTACAATAATGGTTGGCCTGCGTTTGAGAGAGGAGGCAGATGAAAGATTGCGAGTTCGATTGCAAGAACTCATGTCGCTGCTCATGGATTCTCTAAAGAGGAGCAGTGCTCTCAGGTCAAGGTCCATGTTTGACTGCAATGGCTTAGATTGCTGATCTGGTTCGATGGGAACTTGCTTCTGGAGTGAGTGAGCTTTTGAGTCAAACTCGTGGGCCAGTCTGGTCGCCACCTTGGTTGCAGGTGGATGCAGTTGTTTGGTAAATCGCCAGCGAGGATAATGAGAGAGAGGGTCGCTCGCTGGGAGAACTGCAGCTGGTCTAGCAATGTAGCTTGTTTCGGTGCTTGGTGGGAAGCACCTTCTGTATGCAAGGGTCGCTCTACTCTGCGACGAGGTCCAGCCGCATGCGTAACGCGGCTGCGGCCTGTGCAAGGATTTGTGTCGGCTTCATGGCGCCGTGTGCTGCAGACAAGCACTTTTACGGTCGCATGGGGGCATTTTCGCCGGCGCTCCACCGCCTGTTGCTCTTTTGCACGTCTGGACAGTTGCCGGAGCATCATCCGGACAATGCAGAGAGGTCCCAGTGGGGGTGTCTTAAAATGGTTGCACGGCCAACACTACTATCTCACACACTAGGCTTGCCTCCTGAAGGTCCTGTCCAATTGGCAGCGTCACATGCAAGAAGCGGCTGTGCGCGGGCTTGACGACATGTGCACCCCAACGCGCCGAGAGCAGGCACTGGTAAGTTTCCCGCAACCTAACTAACAGAAGCGCCACGGCGTGGTGGTGGAAGCTGGTGGAGGCCGCAGATGCCTGACAGATTGCATGCTTGACAGATGGCAACCACGAAAAGCGGTCATAGTTGGAATGGATAAGGCATGACAAGGCTACAATTTATATTCTTGGTCAAGATGAACACCGATTGTCTGCGCATCCTCTCCCCATGCTCTTCGCACACCAAAGTGATGGGAGTCGAGCTGCACTGTCAAGACATGCATTTGCAAATGTTGGTTTTGGCTGCAGGAAACAGGCAGAAATCATACAATCGCAAGCTACTCATTCAATTGCCAGACTTCGTGTAAAGGGAGAACGCTACCTTTAAGCAAATTAAACCACGATAGCGGCCAGCCTGCCATAGCATTCAGCCACAGAATATCGAATAGTGCATGCTCGGAAGGTGTGGGCCTTGAAAATTCGCGCATGTCCCTGTACAGTCGCCATGGGTCCCATGCCTTGTGACCCGGTGGACAAGAGCCCGGCGAGTGAGAAGGACCCTGTGCAGATTGTCCTGCTGTTGCTAAATCTTGACTTGGAGATTCAAGCTGCGATGGTACTCTCGCGATGTTATGCGGCCCTTTCCTAGTTACCAATTCAACAGGACACCCCGGTGCAATGTGCCAAGTGTCCCTCGGTGCCTGAGCGCCTCCACCTCAGAGATTTGGGAAGCCAGGAAGTGTAGTAGTTTCTACTAGTGCATGGGCCTTGGTTTTAAAAAACTGCAGAGCACGACTCGGTGAGTCTCAGTGCTCTCGGTCCAGTGGGTCTTCGGGCACGGTGTGTTGAGGAGGCTGATTAGCTACAAACGCTCAGTCAAGGCTGAGATGCACTGATCTGCAAGCGCCATCAACTGCACCCTTCTTCTTGTCATTCAAGATGAGAAGCCCCGGCCAACAGAACCTGAGGATGCATCTTCTGCCTCTCCATGGACGGAAGGCTTGGGGACTTCATGTTGTCAGCCAAGCTTCGGAAGTCCGGCACGGATGTGAAAGGCAATACGTCCCTCTTCATTACGAAAGCCCTGCGCCAACGTCTTCAAGGCAAAAGCTCAGGGCAATACCCCTCAGTCCAACAAGACATCCTGACGGCCGCCTCCCTGCTCGGCAGGCTGCCGTACAGCTCAGCCCTCACATCGCATACTGCCTGCGCGAAATGCTGGGCCGACTGGGAGGCTGGAGATTGCTGTTAAAACCAAGGCACTTGTACTGCACATTTGGTTCCTGCCATTTTTATGTAAATGTTTGCTTGTGCGCGAGTCTGTGTTTAGAATGAAACAAAGAAACATCTATATACTATACATATAGATATAAATAAATAACTATGTGTGTATATATATATATATGTACATACTGTTGCTGTGTTTTTGCACACGGTCACAATTTAATTGTGCATGTTCATATGTGTTAAACGTTAGCAAAAGACAGGTCGAGAGAGAGAGAGAGAGAGACAGAGACACCACGGAAGCAGTTGAAGTTGCGAGCTTGCAATGGGACTGCGAGTGCGACTACAGAGCCGGTTTTCGCCAGATGAGGCCGGGCGGTGGTTTTGTCGTGTTCTTTCAGAGGGTTACAGTGTTGTGTGACGGCCGACCATATCTTTTATGGTAGCTTTCTCCTAGACCACGGAGACCGGAGTGCGCTTGCGTGCGGGAGGGGGGACTGCCTCCTCTCTGGCTGAGTGGAAGAAGACACACGGGCAATCTACACCCCTAGCAAGCAAGCAAACAAGGGGGAAGAGACACCCAGCCAAGCAAAGCATCCAGCTCCGAAGAGCAAAGGCCCCCCGCAAGACACGCCAGGGTCATTGTTGTAGGAGATGTGCATAGAGAAAATCAAAAAGATACATAGCACATGCAAATGTTATGTTGCCATTTTGGTGTATGTATATATATATATTATATATATATATATGTACCCACATACACACACACACACATATATATATATACGAATATATTCACCTTTTTTCATGTTTTGTATGCATGTATGTATGTATGTATGTACGTATGTATGTATGTACCCTAAGCCCTAAACCCTGTCGGCTGTGCGAGCATGTGGTGTGGTTGCACTTCTGCCTGCATATATGTATATGTATGTATGTATATGAATGTGTATGTATGTACATGTATGTATTTGTATGTATACGTATATATATATATATTTATTTATATGTATGAATGTGTATGTATGTATGTATGTATGTATGCGTATGTATGCGTATGTATGTCTGTATGTATGTATGCATGTATGCATGTACGTGTGTCTGTGTCTGTGTGCGCAAGCACGCATGCATAGGTCGGTCGCTAATCTGCTACGTCTTGCGTGATTCTATGCGAGGTCATAGTCCTACGAGGTTTACATATTACAAGCTGAAATCGACACTAACGCACGAAGTGTTTCGTTGTCATTCCGTCAGACTTGCATGTGCCCTCTTCTCAGCATGTATGTTTGCAGGTATGCATGTACGTAAGTACGCATGCATGCATGCCTGCTCGCTCTCCTTGCATGCATGTATGTTACCAATGTTAGTGTGTGTCTGTGACTGTCTGTGTCTGCATTTTGGTGTCTGTGCGTCTGTATGTAAATCCAAATGTCTCCGCATCTTGCGTGATTCCTTGGGAAGACTCCCCTCCGCTTGTACCGTAGCATGTGTACGAGATTGTGATGCTCCTTCAGGAGCGTCTGCCTGATCCACGAGCGAAGCCGGGGACGGAAACTGTCGCCAACCTGTCTTTGGCTGCGTCATTTCAACACCCCTCAGGTTTCCGCAATGCCCAGTGTGCCAAAGGGCCGTCGACATTGGTCAGGGCTACGCAGACAAGGCGCTGCAAGCAGGTTCTGTGCAGCTTCTTCATTTCTTAAGTGCGCTGCTGGTATCAGGTGCAGTGCCACCCGTGCTTGGAGGACCAGCAGCGGCCGCGGTTTCTCATCATCCCGTTGCTGCTGTGTTGTTCAGGAGTTGCTGGCAGAGGTGCACTCGCGCAGGCAGCGACCCAAAAAGGACGGGAGCCCAGGGACAGATACAGAGACAGTTTTTGAAGTGGCCTGCAAGGATGCAGCTGATGCAAAGAGGGCATCCAGATGCTGTTGGTCCTCACGGCTCGCTTCTTTCTGCTGCGTGTTGCATGTTTCGAAACCCTGGATCACAAAGAACCGAGCATCCGAGATTGCACTGCACGTAAGCCTTGCAAAATCGCTCGGCAGCTTGCGACTTGCTGCCAGGCTCTGGGCTCTAGTCCCAGCAGGGGCCCGAGCAATCTACAGACTTGGCCTGGCAAGGTTTGCGCAAACCGGTCAAATCAGTCGGGGGAGCAGATGAAGGAATATATATTTATTTATTATGTATATATTTATATTTACATTTATATAATGCTTTAATACGATACATAGTGACATCTGCATGTCGTAAGCTGGAGTACGCAATGAACCGCAAAAATGGCTTGCAGCCAGTATGAGCCGACATGAGAGCAGAGAGCAATTTGCCCACATAACCCTGCACTCGAGATGAGCGTGGCACCAGACATATTCAGAAGGATTCTCTTAGACTGTATATATCTAGAGAATGATGTGTATATATATATATGTACTATGTCATAGATCGTCACCAGAACTATAAAACCATATACATATCGACATGCGTATATATATATGTCGATATATACATACATATGATTTTACATGTACATGCACACATATGTATGTAGGTATGTGTTTCCTCTCAGGTCGTTGTGTTGATTGCTGTCTTTAACGTGGCCTTCTCAGTCGTGCTCGACCTCACTGGCCGATGGATGGCCAAGGAGCGCAGGGCAGCAGCAGAGACCTAGGTCTTCTTGAAGGTCTTACGGGTGCTGTGCTACGTTACACGGGTTCTACGGGCTCTGAGGTTATGTGGGATTTGACAAGGGTTCGACACGCTGTTTACATTGGTTTGTGACGACTCGCTATGCTGTCACTGCCTGTGCACACAGACATACACAGACACATGTGTTTATACGTATATGTGTATACACGTATGTATGTACGTACGTAGGTAGGGAGGTAGGTAGGTAGGGAGGTAGGTAGGTATGTATGTATGTACACGCATACGCATGTGCATTTACATTATATATACATACCGGTATGTATCTGTGTACATATATGTGTATATATATTATTTATTTATCTATTTATTTATATGTATATTTATACTTATATTAATATTTGTATTTATAATCATAGTTATAGTTCTTCATTTGTCTATTTATTTACTATTTATGAAAGTATTTATACGTGCATGTGCGCACAGCCATTGCGAAAATATCCACAAATGAGCCTTATGTATGAGTGTAAGTATATGTTGTTTTCTTGTGAGTGGGTGTCTAGGGGCAGATATGTGGGGCCCTTTTTGAATTTATACTCGTTCAACATGCCACAGATGAAGCCGAAAGCCTGAGTGTGTGCTCCAATCGCCTGGCTTGAGAGCCCTCGGCGTGTTCTACTAGTAGCGGCTCTGTGGCCGAAGCTGTGGCAGAGCTAAAGCCTTAAAGCAGTGGTGTGCTGCCGTTCTGGATCTGGCTTTGCCTGCACGGGAGTCACTGGAGCTTGGTTCTCCGATTCGTGCATCATAAAGGCCTGGAATTTTGGACATGCAGGAGCTGGAGCAACATCCAGCCCTTCTACGTCAGCATTTGCCGCCAGGCATGTGCTTTGTGCTGGGTCCGTGAGGGTGCTTGCAGCAAACCGGAGAGCCGGGGCATGATCCCGCTTCCAAAACGTCACATGCCGCGCTTGTCTCAGAGCCTCGATTGCCTTCTTGTACCTCTTGCCTTTAATGTCTCTTCCGAGCAGGCAGTCTCATGCCAAGGCAGATGGAGCAACAGATGGTTTGCTCTCGAAGCCTTGCATGGATGTTACAAATCGGCTCTCGCCTCTGTTTTCCTTTACGCCTCGGAGAAACGTCATCGTCATTGTCCTCCTGTGCTGTTTGGATAACCCACTCGGGCTGTGCCCCTTCGGAACCGGCAAGATTGACATAGTTGGTATTTGACAGGCTGTAATTCGGCAAGCTGTGTTTGGGGCACGAAACGCAAATACACGCTCGGATTCAATGTGTGTATAAGTCATGGTTTCGCCGGCTGTCTTTAAAGAGCATCCAGACGCCAAGGTGTGCCTGCAAACGGGGTAGCTGGTTTTTCAGTTTCGTTTGAAATAAGAGGGGGAAGGTTCTTGGAAAGTCGTCCTTTTTCACGAAACGCCTGAGAACGCGTCCGGCCAAGCAGAATCGCAAGTTGCTATCCATCTGCCTCCCATACATCTGTCTATCCATCCACGTCTCCCTCGAAGCCGGCGACATCGACCACTACTACAACCAGACACAACTGGTTGGGATGGTGTGGTCTGCTAAACCCTAAACCCTTAATCCCTAAACCCTAAACCATCGAGAAGGGGAAAAAACCCTAAACCTCTAGAAGAGTTGCTTCAAGAATACCATGTACGCTGCGTCAAGCTGAGTAGGCGCCGCTTCGCTGCTCTGCACCGAAGATGCCAGGGACCTCCTCGAGGCTCGGCGATCTGATGCCCCCTGCTTTTCTGTGTATATATATACACACACACACACACATAGATGTAGGTATAGATATGTATGAAAATAAATAAATATATATATATATATATTCATACATACATTCATACATACATACATACATACATATGTATTTATATCAGAGATCGTCATCACAAGTATAAAACCCCTACTCTATGTCTTTTGCTTCTTGCCTTTCAAGCTCGCTAGAGCGGGACAGCAGGCACGGAAGACTTGGATCTAAAGATGGTGTGGCTCAGGGCTTCCCAGAAATACTTATCAGCAGCCAACCATACTGACAGGAGAGAGCTCTTTGATATTTGCTCTTTTTTTTTGCGGGCAGCCCTGAAGCTTTGCCGTTGGAGGTGCTTGCGCAGGACTCGACCCTGCGGCTGGTCTCGTCGTTTTTGCAGGAGGTCCGACTGGCAACCACTTAATTATAGTTAATACTTCTTTTTATGGTGCTGATGTCAATGCAATTCAATACACACACCAGCGTGAGGTGGCAGCCAGGGCATGCGAGGGACCAAGAAGGCACCGTGCAGTTACTCGGACAGCTGGCACGCTGTCTCGCAACTCTGCTCGCAGGTCCCGCGTCTCGGAGACGAGTGGCGTGGCCCGAAAAGAGCTATGACTCTTGCAATACTCAGAATTAGCTTCGCGCTTAAATGTGCCACTTAATCCAGCTTGGACCAGATTTTCGGCTTTGCGAGATCCCTCGTTCCGTGAAGCTGTGGAAAATGCCCGAGAGGCTAGAGTTGTTCGCGGTCCCCTGCGCATGTTATCTTCGAAACTTGATGTGTGTGTGTGTACAGCTTTCTTCTTCCGTTGCCCACATACTCCTACACAAACCGAGATGTTGCGATGATGTCTAGTTGCCTATCATGCAGCATGAAATGCAAGTGCCTGTCGTGGATCATAGAAAAAAGAATCCTCAGAGAAAACAAACAGTCAGCAACATGCACCCCTGACTTGCCAGAGACAGTACTGTAGCCCTCAACTATCCGCAGATTCATTCCCATAAGAACGGGCATCGTCCGTGTCCTGTCGTGACCGATGCAATTGGCGACTCCTCTGATCCAAGGCTCGGGTGGGGTCAGATCAAGACTGTCGCTCATTCTTGCACGGCTAAGTTCCGTCTGCACCGTCAGGTGCCTCGATTGGCTGCCCCCGAGCTTTGGAATGCTGTGCGTGCATTCTGTGGCTACTCGGTTGGTGTTGTCTCACCAAGCTGGTTTCTGGAGAGCCCAGCACCTCCGTCGCAATGGCAGTGCCTGGAGCATGCAATCCGACAAGAGCATCATGAGCTTTCCTTGCCTCAGAATTTGGGATGTACAGGCCTGTACATCCTGTGCTTGAGCGCGGCGGTCCACGTCCGAATACCGCCGCCTTTGGGGCAAGGGCTGCCACTGCCGGACTTCCTCCTGATCTATCTTACAGGCAACGCAGCTGAGGTCAAGTCTTGTCGCTTCAGTTTCCGGTTCAAGTGCTGGGAAGGTCATAGCACTGTCTATGCCGTCTGCTTCGGAGGCCCGAGGGTTGCTTGCATGACCTGAAGAGAATGTCTCCCAAACTGGCCTTTCCTTTCCATCCTCTTCCTTTCCATTGTATGGTTTGTTACCGCTCCCGCATCAATCTTCATCCTTCGCCCTTGCTTGTGTTTGATAGTGGCCAATGCTGTTAGTACGATCCTGCCTGATGTCTCATGTTGTTCTGTCTCCTTGGCTGTTGGCTTCTGAACCTGGAACTCCACATATAGTTGTGTAGGCATAAAACTGTTAAACTGTCCCTTGCAGCACCGTCGCCGGGATCCTCGTGGAAGGAGCGTCGCAGTCGCGACCTCTTTACATTCGGATCATGCTTTTTTTGCCAACTATCCTCCAGCCTAGCTAGTTGCCCATTCTTCTTGCAGATTCTTGCGCTTGTTGCAGCTTGTCGCCCGCATTGTGTCTCTGTCGCTCGTGTCTAGCTGTGGCTCTTGCAGTTGATCTCGTATTAGAACGATTGCAACGAGACATCTTGTAGCTCGCTTGCGCCTGGACCTGCGATATGAAGCGGATGCACATGTCATTCCTAGCATGCAGCAGTGCGCATGTCAACAGTCCACACATGCATACGACATATAGAATGACAAATGCTTCGAGGAGAGGGGGTTGTCTACCCATCGTGAGAGAGCAAAGGAGCTGCTTGTGCGCGGATGTGTCTTTTAATCTGTCTATCTTGTCTCGGGCAGCCATGTCGAGTGCTCATCTTGCACTGCAGGTGTGTGCGTGTGTCTGGGGTTGGCTGCGTTGCATGCAGTTAAGTCCTCAAGCCTCTACAGGCACGCATGCCGACGGACACAGCAAGCCAGTTCGGCTCCTTTGGCACCATTCCTGCGTTGGTCAGCCCTCGTCCCTGCATTGCTAGCTGTTACCGATCCCCACAGTGTCCGTATGCATTTCATCCTGACCCTGATCTTCAACATGGCAAATCTGCGGGCCCCAAGTACCAGTGCACAACAAAATGGAGCGATTAAAGAAAGTGTGCATGTCATCTCTCTGTCTGTGTGTGTGTGTGTGTCTGCATGTCCGCGCATGTGTATGGACTAGACTGTGTAGTGTATGTTTGCATGCAGGTAGGCGGCCAGGAAGGTGTAGGTAAGCATGTACAGTGAGTCTCCATGACTCCATGAGTGTGTGTGTGGGCATGTGTGCATGCATGGCATATGGATGTGTGTTTGTTTGTTTGTTTGTGTTTTTTGTTTGTTTTTTTGTTTGCCATCGAGTGTGGGTGCACTCTGTGCTTGTTGGTCTTGCATGATCTTTGAAGGCCTGTTCTGGTGGAGTTCCTCCTCCTGGCGGCTTTGCTGGCTCCTGGCCTCGCTCTTGTGCTTCCTGGCGACCGCGCGCCGCCGGTGGGCGCTCTCCCGGCTGCCCACCGTGTCGTCGGACTCGAGGGCGCTGAGACCGTCGCAGCCCATACTCACTCTTCTCCATCCGTATTTGCTTCCCGGCTGCATGGATCAGGTTTGCAGCAGAGACTTGCGGAGTTATCCAGTTATCCCAGAATCAGGTACTACTTTCTCTCGGAGCTGCCAGGGGCATCAGAGGTTGTCCGCATCCAAAGGATGGATCCACCAAGCCTGCGCATGCCAATCGCTACTTGCCTGCGCCATGGTTTGAGTGTGTTCCCATGACGTGCTCGTCGTCAACCTGAGGATGTTTGGCGCAGTTCTGCAGACTTGGCTTCCCGACCCGTGCTCTTCCTGAAGCAAAGCTGCAGAGAGTCTGAAAGAGTCCTGCTCCATGACTTCAGCCTCTTGTGGCTCTGCGGGGCGCGCCGCTCCCAGGATCCATGGCGGTGCATGGCGAGGAGGCGAAGCACGGTGCTCACCGCAGGAGCCATGCTTAAAGCATGCGGGTTTTTCAGTCAGAATAAAGTCTGAACGATTCCCAAAAACACAAAAATCCACTGCATGTAGCAGCGGCTGGCAAGCAGGCCCCCGTTCTCCAAGCTCTGGCGTCTTCGGGCTTCCTCGTTGCACCTCGACCGAGTCCCGTTGTGTTGGTGTCGGGGGGAGGGGGGGGGACGGGGCCCCGCCGCTTCCCGAGGTGAGCTGCGAGTATCGTCGCTTGCCAGGCGCTGCTTCGGGCCGGTGTCCCTAGTGATGGCGAAGCGCAGCCAGGCACACAGTGGCCCATGCAGCTGGAGGACTGTGAGGCGGCCTTCAAGTGGCTCCAAGACGAGGCCCGCCGGCCGCGCCAGCCAAGAGTGGCTCTGTGTGCTCATCCTTTTGCAGGCGGCCACTCTGGGAGCTGACCTCTCCAAGGTCTCCATTGCGGGCACCTCCGCCGGGGGACACATCGCTGCTCTTCTCCTGGCCCGGCGCGCACTCAGAAATTGAAGTTTTCCACTGGGAGCAGTGCAGAGATGCAAGTTCAAGGATGCTGAGCGATCGGAGCGAGAACGCCGAGCACGGCATCAGAGTCAGTGCCATGCTGCTCTTCTACCCGGCCTTGGATCCTGCTGATCGCACCGGCAACACCGTATGCTCCCCCTTCTCCTGCTCTTGCCTGGGTGTGAGGCCCGGCAGCCAGGCTCCAAGAGGCCTTCCCGCTCTGCCTCGAGTTGATCTGATGCCAGGCGCGAGATGAGCTTTCTGGCATGGTACTTTGAGAAGCGTCTTGGCTGGACTGGCTCTGTACTCGGGGTTGCCAGTGCCGCTTCATTGGCTGCAAGTGTTTTGGCCACCAGCCCTAAACCCTTAAACCCGAAAGCCCTAAACCCTAAACAAACCTGGGCATGTCCGAGTTGTGAGAGCCTAAACCCAGGTTTGTTCTTCAGGACCCTCAGCTTTGGCCGTCCGCGGAGCCCTTGGGGCTCCTCCAATCGGCATCTCAGCATCGTCAATAAGACCGGAACCTGTTGTCATACCGTTCTCAGTAGCTGACAAATTCCTGATAATTGCCACTAGCTGTTGTGATGCTAGCTTTCTGGCATGGCTAAGCCTAAATTGGACACGCCCCATGATTTGTGATGCATGATGAAGGGTAGTTAGTACCGCTCTTGTCAACGCTACTTCCGAGCTGCTAGTGCGAGTTGTCGTCCTATGGCCGATGTATGTGACAGTCATCATCCTGTGTCATCATGACAGTGGGCCAACAGCCACCAGCAGGCCAGCCAGGAGGTTGCCACAGTGTGGCCGCCGACCCTGCACCTTGGGCCAGATTTCACGGGCTTTCTGCCTTGCGGCTCGTGACGCACAACTTTGAGCCCCATCGTTGTTCATCATACTCGTGTCAGGATCATTCACGGAGAGATGGACGGCGTGGTTCCTGTGGAGCATAGCTTCCGGCTCAGAGCGAGGCAGCACAGGTTGAAGGCCAGTGGCCCTTGCGGTCGTGGGGGGCGTTCGATGTAAATGTGACTCTTCCACACCTGTCACTCCCATCAAAAGCTCGTTTGGAGCACTGCTTGGTGTTACGATCGGAAAGGCGTTCCTAATGTATTTCGCGCATACCACATGCCGCAAAAACTGAGTCGGTTATTACATGCATCAAAATCTCGTTTGGAGATGTCGGACACCATGCATAGTGTTACCGTCCCGGGGGCGTCTAAAGTACATGTGAACTATTCCAATCTATTCCACGCGTACCACAGGCATCAAGCTCACTTGTAGATTCAGGACACCATCATGGGGGGCCTCTAATGTACATGTGAGCTACTCCACACTTACCACATGCATCACAAGCTCGTGTGGACATTTTGGACGCCACGCATGGTGTTGCGATCGTGGTGGCGTCCAATGTACGTCAATGTACGTATATGACCGTATATGATTTGGTCCAGACATGTAGCAAAAGATAGCAAGAGCTCGTCTGACTTTGGACACTGCTTGACTGCTTGGTGTCACGGTCGTGGAGGGCATGTGAAGTCCGCGACATGCATCCAGATTTGGTCTGGTGTTTTGCACACACTGCTTTGTGTTACGGTCGTGGGCGGGGGGGGGGGGCGTCCAATGTACATATGAGGTAGCCCAGGCTCGCCGCAAGCATCACAAGCTCGATGGGGGCACGTTGGGCACACTGCTTGTGTTATGGTCGCCCGGGGTGTCCAACCTACCTGTGATCTACTCCACAGTCACCACATGCATAAACAAAAATCATTTCAACATATTTTGGGCACGGTCTGCTTTCGAAACCAAAGCCGGAGTCTGAGCCAAAGGCCGCTCCTTCTTGGCATCCCTGGCCGCAGCGAGCGCAGGTCCGGTCGCAACTGAAGCAACAAACTGAGAAATTATGGTAATAATCTGAGTAATAGTAATAATAATAGTGATAATAATGCGAAAGATAATGTAAAATAAGAACAAAAAATACCAATAACGGTAAGTAATATTGTTACATATGGAGCTCGTACCAGTACCAACAAAGAAGGCTGCGCATGTCGGGTAAATCTCGCACGAGGCGACAGCTGCGAATCAGACACTGGAGGCTCCAAGCTTCGTTTCGAGAGACGATTCCACGAAATCCTGGGCCTAAGACTTGCTGTACCCAGGTGATGGGAGCGGTCGCGAATTCAGAAGTGTGGACAGGCCTGTTGAAGTTACGTGCTTGCTCGATTGCTCGGAGTGCTAGGCGGCTTCAGCTCGTTTCTGCACTGAGCAGGCTCTTGGTCGTGCCACTCGCCCGCCACATTTTCGAGACTTGGATGACCCTAAAGGCAGTCCATGGCCGGTGCGCGAGCTAGTGCTGGTAACGAATGTGCTGTTTCGGATGACTTCTTGAGACTGAGGAGATCGCCGCTGGCGATCTTGCTAGCGCATCGTACGATGCAGCCATCGGTTGGCTATCGCAAGTGCAGGACAGGTGTCAGAAAAGATGGGTCGAGGAGTGCGATGTGGCAACTTCAGCATGGCGCGTCTGCCGTGGAGTCAAACTGACGATTTGCCTTCTGTAGTATGATCTTGGGCATGCGTTGTGCGAGCCGATGGCCCCACAGCAGACCTTGGTAGAGCTTCAAAGAACCGCACAAGGGATGCCATCGATGACTAGCTGCAAGACACTGGAGCCCGACAGCAGCAGTCCGAAAGCCAAGGGCGCCAAGGGTCGCCCATCAAAAAAATTGTTCTGTGCTGTAGCGACATTGACTCCTCTGCCCTAGTGGTCATTTCTGCTTGTGCAACCGGAATGTCCGAAGTGGATGGCGCCATGTCTCCTGGTCTCTTTCGGAGTTCTTACCAGCGCGACCTGGAAACTGCCAGGTCATTACTGCAGAGACTGCGCAGAGGCAGACGGGTTGAAACGTTCAAGACGGGACAAAATCTAAGGAAGAGTTAAGGAATACCGCACCGGCAGGATGACAGCACTAGCATACTCCCTCCCACCGTAGATTTTGTGTAACCCGATAAGACTTTGGGCGTTAGGGTTTTTAAAGCAAGCGAACTCCAAGTTGCAATGGAGATCATTAAAGCGCTTTCGGCTGGGATGGCATCTTCCGAAGCCTCGGATTCGCAGTTCTACACTCTCCACAGAAACTGCCCAACGGAGTGTTGCGCTAGGGTTGGCTAGACTTGCAGGTCCTGCGAATGATGAATCAAATGGCTCGGAGATTGCCCAGACATCCCGCCCTTGTGTGCCTTGGCTTGTGCGCCGGCTAATCCTGCCTTCCGACCGCCATCTGTCACGTTACGGCAGCTGCTGCTGCGACCACTTTCGGTACCTCCACTGCCATCACCACCCATCACCACTCCACGCGCTGCGCGGACGACGGTTTCGCCTCCACCTCCTGCTCCCCTTCTGCACCATCTACAAACGTGACCACACCGAAGTTGACCACGGGTACACGGAAAGTGTGTCGAACATTTGGCTTCCTGCTGCTGTCCGCCGAGGAGAGAAAAAGTCAATGTGATGGCGATCGTGCTGGCTGGTGATGAAGACGAAAACGTTCGCGATCATGGTGATGCATGTAATCACATTGGTGACGGATGTAGGGCCAATGTAGGCTGCAGCAACAATCCTCCGGTAGACAAGTCTTGTCAACACAGCGAGCAAGCATGTGCTGTGATATGGAAGTCAAACATCACCTGCACTTGTAAGCCCAGGCTCGGTTTCTGGTCTGGCGCGTGCTCGAAAACTGGGATGGACAAGGTCTCTCCGATCGACGGGCTTGTCTAGCGGCCTCTCGGCTGCACGTTTTTTCCATCGGTAATCTTCATTTAAGGTTCGATTTCATGCAGTGTGTTCTTTTTTTCGGCTTGCAGGTGATTTTGGCGGAAGCGCTTCTGCTGAATCGTGTGGCGGCCCTGCCGACCTTCACTTTGGCTGGTCAGCACAACAATGGCACTTCACGGGCGTCGGACCTCATGGAGTACCTGTCACTCCGACACATCCCCGTCCAAACGGTGCCTCTGAAAAGTGCTGGACTAAGTTGAGGGGGTGAGCGTCCTTTCAGCAGAGACGGTCGAGATCCGTCAACACTTGTGAAGGCCTCCCTTCGAGGGTCTGGCAAGATGCCATGGACGTGCACGGCGAGCTGAACCCGGTACAGTGGAGAGACGTGTCTGCCTCCGCGCTGATACGCTACAGCTCCCGGGAAGGATTCTGGAAATCCGGGATCCATGCCTCAGTGATGAAACTCGCCGGCCTTTTTCATGGTACAGGGATGCAACCAACTGCAGGGCTTTTCGATCCATCCACCCGTGTGGCAGAGGCAGTGGCATGGATGCAAGCTAGGTTGATTTGCGCTTCTGCTTTCTTGGTTCGGTCCATACACCGGAACTCGGAGAGCAATGCTCTACGTGTGGATGGTGATAGTTGAGCCGGGCTAGATCAAGTAATGCGTCTTTGGATTTGAAGAACTCAAAATTAAAGGGGCCCCCAGTCGCGTCACTGGTCGTTGATAACTGGATGTATAATAAAGACATACCTATAGGTCTATTTGAAGGCTGCTGAAGTGTTGAAGGATAGCCTGCTTCTCTTCAAGAGTCGTGTGCAGCTGGTTCCTCCCAGGCTACTCAAGTCCGGCTGCGACTGGGACTGGGGCCTGCCTACATTGGGGTTCACGTGAGGCGACGGCCGCGATGGAATGGCATGGTTTTGGTTTTAGATGCTGAGGTCTGAGGTAGGCTGCAGCATAGTGTCGTGAGTCTTGACTGCTTGGATGAAAGTGTAACGAAATGCAAAACTCGTCTCATAAAGTTATGAAACAAGAACAGAGCAAGGCAACTGAGAACACTGATCGAAGGCGTGGGGACAAGCTCCTGATCCCGGGCCTGGACTTGGCAACCACGCCTGAGGCAGTGGCCGAGCGAGTGGCACACCTGGCCCCGCCTGGCGTCCGAACGGTGCCACTTGCACGCGATTTTAAGCGTTTTAAGCGATAATAAATGTATCGAGCAATGCTGCAGACGTGACTAAGCGTGGCGGCGGCCTCGTGTGAGGAGGCTCCAGATGCCAAAGTGCATGTTACCTTCTCAGCGTTGGGTGTTGCTTGAAACCTGGCCTACAAGCCGGCAGGCAGGAGCCGTGGTTTGCAGCGTCAAAACCACAGACTCGGGTGGTCACGGTAACTTCCCAGGTACGTCGCCACGAACGACACGCAGGCGGACTACGGCACTGCACTTCTCAAGAGGGGCTTCCAGTGCTTCAGCTCCCATTGCTGGCTTCCTTCCGTAAGTGACAACTTCTTCCTATTTGCGGTTGAGATGCAGATTGTTGATGCTGCTTCCGTGAGCATCCGAACCTTCAACGACTCCATGCCGTGGTACAGGGCGGGTCTTGCGAAGCCGTCCCATTGTTTGCTGGATCGCAGCATGCACGACTATGTCTTTGGCTTCAGTGCCACGGGCTCTTGTTGCACCTGGCCCCAGAGCCTCGTGCTTCTTGACCCAGAAGCACTCTGGCAAACGGCTGCAGACGACAGGGCAGAGGAGACTCCGAGTGAGCCTGCGGTGGCGGAGCCGGTGACAAAATACAGCATCGTGGTCCTTGAGGGGCGGAGCTCCGAAGGATCAAGGTGGTGGGAATTTCCCGCCAGTATTTGGCCCATGGAGGCTTCCGGGAAAGTGCACGAAGTGACCCTTGAGTTCTTGGAGCCATGGCTTCGAAGTGCCCCAAAAAGAGAAATTTCCACTTGGACGGAGTATTTCGGGGCCCTGGCAGCTTTCACAGATGACATTTCCGAGGGCTTGACACGGAGGTCTACGCTTTATGGCTTTGAGAATGTATCAAGGAGGCACAGGCATCTGACTTCCGCAGCTATTCCTCGGCGAGGAGCAGTCTTCTGCTACGTTTCCGTTGGCAGGGTGTCGGTCAGGGACCAGTACGGTTCCTTCGACATCGTCGCCGGACAGTATTGCGTCGCTCCAGCTCCGGTTCGTTTTGAGCTAAGCAGCAAGACCAGACTGGTGGCCGTCCATACACATCCCTTCCAGCCTTTGCGAGCCTTCGCCGCTTTCGGTAAGTGTTGTCCTGTTTGATTGCCAAACTGATAATCTTGTAGTTTGAGCTTGCGCAAACCCAGACATCCCCCAAAGCCGTCGCAGCCTGATGGCCAAAGGCCGATCCGCTCCTTTCTTTTCATGCGCACCTTACACGAATGCGGTAGGGAAACCCGTGAAAGCCAAGGAACTATCGGGGGCCCGATTGAAAGCAAAGGCCGACTGCGATATGTAGACGGATGCAGCGACACGCTCTTGGTGGCTCCACCTAAGCTGTCGGATCCGTGCCTCAACTTGCTTCATTTCCCACCAGGGATCCACCAGACATTACACACGCATCCTTCCGTGCGTTGCGGGCTCATTGCAAGTGGAGCCGGATATTGCATGGATGGAGATCATCGCAAGATGGAGCTGCAAGAGGGCATGGTCTGGGCCATCCCGAAGGATGCCGTCCATTCTTTCCATACAGCAGAGTCGAAGGAAGAGTTGAACGTCATCGCCTTCCATCCCGACTCGGACTGGGGTCCTCTGGACGAGGACCATCCCATGCTGAATCGGACATGGGTGGACGGTGCCAAGATTGACAACTGCACCGAAAGTCACCGAAGGGCCGATATGCTTCTTACGGACCAGTCGAGGGCCCTGCATCTCGCAAGCTTTCTTCAGGCAAATGTTGGCACAAAGCCGCCAGAGCCAGGACCTGAGGTTTTACATACGGGGCGTTTTTAAGGGGGTGCTCACGATAGGCCGAGTTTTGTAGGAACACTCCGACTTTCTCTTTTCAGGAGCAGACTCTGGTTGTCGCGGACATTGGGCTGTGCATTTGGCGGTTCTGGCGGATGACTTCCGCCCGATAGAGCTGACGAAGGAACCTGTGTCCTGGCGGCACGGACACGCCGTTTCCGAGTAGCATCCAGACCGTGACCTTCCTGTCGAATTTGAGTGTTGCTTTTCAAGCGTGCATCTCTCAGCCAAGCCAAGGCCGCGTCTGATACGTCAAGCACGCAGTATTGCCGAGCTGCGCTCAAGACTGAGCAGGCAGCGCGGTGCGGCCCGCAACAGTTGTCGCTTTGCATCGGAGACACGAGGGCGGCTTGGCCCATTCACCCTGTCTTTCGCGACCTCTCCTTTGTCCCAAGGTTTTTCAGCTGTAAAGGCGCGCAAAAAATCGTAGAGGACAGTACTGTAGGTGATATCCCTTCCCAACTTTGAGAACCCAGGCTGCAGATGGCTCTTGCTCACAAGCTCGCAGAGTGAGGCTGGACACAAGCTCCGGCCTGCTGAGTGTGTCCACGTGCAAGGGATAAACGACGCCACGCTGTGGTGGGGAGTCATGCTCTGATAAGGCAGGATAGTTTCGTCGCATCACCGGTGGCCAGTAGAGTCGAGAAACTGCTGGTTGAGTCACTGGAGATCTGCATCCGCAGCCCCTGAGAGTCCGTGAAGTCTTCCTTGGCCTGGGATGTTAGAGATATACCGTGTCAGGCGTTCTTCCACCAGCACCACGGGCCTTTTATGTGCTTGCAACCCCTCACAATCCCTTCGCAATCCCTGGCTTTTCTCCTGTGCGCAGACCTGCGCAGAGCCATGGGTTACCGCATCGGGGGTCCCTGGGGCTCCGCTCCGCCCGACGCGGCGAAGAAGCGGCTTCAGGCGCGTAAAAGCAGAGGCACCATCGGATCGAGACGTGCAAGTCGCGGAGAAAGGCCAATCGCGCGGATGAGAATCGCTTCGTGACGACCTACAACAAAACCTTCTGTGCCTTCCTGAGCTTCTGTTCAAAGATGCTCCCGAGCACAGGGCCGCATGCCCGCTTGCGCACACACACACACACCACTGCGCCAGCTTTGTTTTCGCACTGTGTTGGAGATTTACTGAGGCTTGTCAAAGTCGCAGTCAGCCACAGTGGTGAACCCACCCAAGAAGATGCTGCTGCCGCAGATTGGCGGCGATGTGCAGAGACCTGGCCATGCTTACATGCTACTTGTCTCCCAATTCCATTTTCATTGTCAGCCTTTGGAGAGCTGAGGAACGCTCCTTTCAAGGGCGCGCCCACTGCCGTGACTCAGGTCGACAGAGAGTGGTGCAAAGCGCGTGTAGTTGCACGAGTGTGTTTGTGACTGAATGGCGTAGGCTCCCAAAGGGACGAAGTTGATACACAGGGAGCACATCGGGGCTGCTGTGCATTGCAAGGCAAACACGATCAACCCGATCGCGACAATGTCCATGACGAAGTCCATGACCAAATCGCTATCAAACAGTTCGCTACAACTGGCAGGCCCCTCGCATGGGAGAAGCGAGCTGTTGCAAATTTGTAGCAGCTTGCAGTGACTTTCAGCTAGCAGGATCATGATCCTGATACAGTTTTTAAGCGCCCTTCAGGCCGTGCACTCTCGACAGATGTATTGAGGATGAATGCTTCCTACGAAGAGCAGCTCGGACTCGTGCTAGAACCCTGATAAGCCACAAGGGAAGTGTCACGTCATTGAGGCATGACTACTTACTGCTTTCGGAATGCCCTGGACTGAGGGTGACTGGAACTCTGATGTTGAAAACCTTCAAGAACAGAGCTTCTCAGATGCAGGAAGTCGCACCAGGTTGGTGCTGAAGTAGAGGCCACCCCGCACAGAGCTCTGTGCAGAAAGCTTCCGAACAAGAATGCGCAGCGAGCACGCGCAGAGCTCAGGATATGCGTCGAAAGTGTCTTGAGCTCTTGGCAAGACCTGACCTTAGAGACATCGCGCAGGAGACGTAAGGGTTCGGTTTGCAAGGCTTCGCTGAGGTGCCTTCATGAAAACACGTCTGATCATGTCTGCACCATTTTGCACCTGTGCAGCGAAGCTCTTGTTCCATCTTGTTCCAGCTTGCTGTTGACTGGCAGAGCTTGGGAAGCGCGGCCCGAGTCAACATGCAAGACTGTCATCCTGTACAGAGCGTACAGTACGCTACTTGTAGGCAAGATTCGGCACAAGCAGAAGTATAGTTCCATCAACAGCAAGCAACATCTTCAAGTCATTTCTTCAATCAGAGACTGCCGGGGCCTGTCGACCTGCCCGAGTTTATCCTGAACCCTCAACATTGCCTGAGACATGTGGATCCGTGCCTGCCTTGTGCGAGTGCGCGTGTCCAACCCGTAATGTCCGGGCCTAAACCCATGACGGTCCTATAGTAATCCTATAGCCTATATATAGTGTATATATATATATAGTATGTGATTATGATTCTACCATATGGCTTGCACAACATCGAACATATTTTCTTACTTATCCTACAGGGCCCTCGGAGCTTCCGCCAGGACCTTTTCAAGCAGGCCGACGCCGACGGTAGTGGCGAGTTGGAGTTCCCAGAAATCCAGAAGGTGTTGGAGAGGCCGCCTCCATGAACACATAGATTGGAGGATGCAGCCAAGATCGTGCAGATCATGATATGGCAGTGCACGTATGATACCGTATGGTATGTGCATATGTTCGAATTTGTTCCGAACTCATGCATGTGCATACCTTCCTACCTGCTTGACTACGTACGTACACACATCAACGCAACGGCCGCGTTTCAATCCCTTCGATGACCTCCCGGAGGCTGCATGACGAGATGGACCTGCCGCTGCCGAATCGGGATTTGGTCGACCATCGGCCTGACTTAGACGTTTTGGTTCGGGAGTTTCGGGGTTTCTTACAAGGTTTTTATCTAGCCTGAGTTGACTTGTGCCTTCTTGCGCCTGTGTGCTCCATGTGATGCAAGGGCTCAGTGCTTCTCTACTAGCCACGTCTGTACATGGTGGGTGCACAGTCATGCAAGCAATGGCAAGCAAGTGGAGCATACTGGAGCACAGCTGACAGGAGTCGTTGCTCAAGCGCTTCGACACCACTGGCAGGAAAGTCCTGGGGCAATATGATTTTTACGAGCTGCTTGGATGGTTGCAGCTGGTCCTATTGTGTGTGTGTGTGTGCGCATCTGCATCTTGAAATCTTACTTGCTCCAGACATATTTGCAGATGTCAGCTCTCCCCTCACCGCCCGCAGCGTTACAGTCAGGTTGCTGGTGTCGCAGCTGCGGCGTAGCGCCTTTGACCGCGGATCTGTGCTCGGAAGGGAGTTCTTTCTGACCAAAGGCGCACTTCCCCAAGTCGGGATAGACCCCAAAAGAAACTGCTTGTTTTGGCCGGTTTACGCACACATGTCCCCCTCGCACAGGTAAGCAGGATGTGTGGGAGGTCTTTCGCCGCGAGAAGCAACTGGGGACCGGCTCCTTTGGAACTGCCTACAAGGCCACGGCTCTTCAGTTCAGAGATTTATATGGGACACTACCTTCGGGGAAGCCCAGGGCTTGAACTTGAGGACGTTTGGAGGGTTTGAGTCTTGTGTTTGCAGCTAGAGGCTGGTCAGGCCTTGGGCGCAGGTCGGTTCGCCGCTCACTCTGGAGTGCACGTGCAAGTTAGCCGCGAAGCTCACGTTATCGTGAGTCTGCAGGCCAAGCATATCAAGACTGGCGAGGAGCGAGTGATCAAGGCAGTTAAGAAGAGCCGCACGGCTCTACCACTCGATGAGATCGAGCAGGAGATCCTAATCATGAGGCCAGAGATCCGCAGGTTTTCGCCTTGCCGGTTCCTGAAGCAGTGCCAGGCAAATTGACCATCCAAACATCGTCCGTCTCTTTGAGTGGTACGAGGATGGAAATCGGATTTATTTGGTCTTGGACTACTTGAAGGGCGGTTCCCTGAAAGATGTCGTGCTGCAGCTCAACAAGAAGGCGGGGGTCTGGGGGTTGCCTTGCCCCTGTCCTTCCCGGGGCTCACAGTCCGTTCACTGTCGCTACTACCGCCAGGACGAGAGAGGCCTTAAAGAGGCCTGGATCCGTGAGGTCATCCAGCAGTCTGCTGGGGGCCTGGCTTACTGTCATGCGCTTCGTCTGATTCACAAAGACTTGAAAGACGAGAACATCATGCTGCTGCAGATGCTCGGTTGCATCGTAGGAGGAGTGCAGTTGAAAGGGCCCTGGAGCTTGCTTTCTGTCTCAGGAAGTCAGCCAACTGGGAGAAGCCTCATGTGCCTCGGCACTTAGTTCTCTGAAGGCAGCTCAGCAGCGATTCCTGCAGGTGGTGATCATCGACCTTGGCGTCGCGGAGATGTTCTCCATTGCTGACCCTGCAGGTCGCATGATTGGCGGAACACCCACGACCATGGCACCAGAGGTGCCTGCTTTGCCGATCGTGCTCTTATGAATCTGATGTTCCGGAGTCTCGAGCTCGCGACGTATGCTGTGCTGCCCACGCCTGTTTGCCGAAGGTCTGGATGGGAACATTTGGCCCTAAATGCGACGTCGGGAGCTCAAGCAGTCTGATGCCTTCCTTCTGGCTTTGGGCCCGTCCGGCTTTGGGAAAGCTGGGTGACAGGTTGTTGTCGTGCGAAACAGCGACTGAGGTGTGGTCACTGGGGTGCATCATGTTCGAGCTTTGCACGGGCTCGCTTCCCTTCATGGCGACCACGCTGCAGCCCAGTGCCTGGACGCGGCTCCACAAACGTGGACCGAAGCCTCGGGCCCAGCTCTCTTGCTCCCACTCAACAATGGCGCAAGGTCGGTTTCAAAAGCACCCGTTTTGGTAGGTGGGATGATATGAAGACTTGTGCCGACAGCAAGGCCCGACATGGAACAAAAACCCATGGCTGCCTTCCACCCATTTTTGAAGCTCCAGGTACTCTGCAAAGCCATGCTGCAGTATGATGAAGAGCAGAGACCTTCAATGTCAGAAATCCTGGGGCCAGGGACCTGGCTTGAAAAGTAAGGCCCATGGCCCATACCAGGTCGCTAGCTGAAATCGAACCAAGGTTCCCATACTTTGCGCCACTTTGCCAGCACAAAATGCTATCCAAGCTGTTAGCAAACTTGGGCGGATAGCAGCTTCACAGTTGCATTCACGTGTTGCAAACCCAGGGCAAAAAATGAGCAAATCAGTTTCCGATGCGGTTTTGAGTTGGTGTCCATAAGCCGCCGGTATGAAGGCGTCAAAATTGGAATCCGTCGTTGGTGGAGTTCAGACTTAAAAGCTGTGTCGCGAAAATGCTGGTTCAAACCGAACCAGGTCAGAACTGTTTGCTGACAGCTTGCAGGGTACCCTAGGCATGCCCAAAGGCGCTGCACATGCTCTCGTAACTTCGTGATGTAGTTTAGTTTGCTTGGGTGCTTGGGTTGGCAAGCCCAGCAGTCGGCAAGGGCATGGCCATCCAAAGTAGATCTCAATTTTGAGAGTCGTTGCCTCGCATGGGGGCTTGCACGGCTCATGCCGGCCTACAGCTTTTGCTCACTTCATGTTGTTGTGGCCGTTATCTTTCCAGCCTTGCTTCATTAGAATTTTCATTTACGGCCCTATCATAAACCAATTTGTAAAACAAGTATGCTGCAACCTTTCCGTCAACGCCAGAGCACGACGACGAGCCAGCCGCAAGCGGTATCTACTTAGCTTTGAAGTCACAGCTGTTGTCAGAGCTTCCATGCATCAAAACGCTTGAATTCCTTAACAACTCGCGTACGCCTATTGTGGGCTGTGTGATTTTGAAGTTTGTCAAGTACATCAACAGCATGCGGCATACATTATTAACGCATACAGTTGAACACCGTAGGAGAATCAGTGTAGCATGTCCGAGACTTCTGCCACATCCTGGCGTACAACCTGGTATAGTTTACAGTTCTAACATGGATCAGCTGCCCCCGAAGGGCCTAAGCTAAGCACACCTTAGACTAGAAAACCCCCTCCGAGGATTGCAGCCCACGAGCTGAAGTTTGTGCCGCCGGAGAAGTTCGCCAGCTTCCTGAATGCTCACAAAATGCACCGAGCAAGGCCTCTTTGTGCGGGCCAGGAGTCATGGTTGCGCTAAATCACATAGTCTAGTAAGCAAGGTCGCAAAGATGTGCAAACGCAAATAGCACCCCGAAGGCTAGTCAAAATTATGGACGTAAGCAGCAGAAGACAGTCTCATGTTGTTCTTGAGGTTGTGCAAGATGCCGATGCCACCTAGGGTAGAGAATGGAGGAAGCTAGCAGGATAGCCAGTTCGGGAGAGGCTCTGCAGCACCTCTGCCTGCTTTAGCGAGGGCGCAAGTCTCGGATCTCGCTCGAGGCAGGGGCTCCTGCTGGAAATCGCAGCCCGATTGCCATTCCGACGTGCTGGTGAGATCATTCGCATGCTTCTGGGAGGGCATGTGCGTAGACATGAAGACCTGGTGCGCCGCGTAACAAAGGCAACAGTATGGCAGGGCTGGAGTGCAAGCCAAGGTTTTCGGAAGTTGACCAAGACAAGACCGGCACGATTACTCTTGATGAGCTCAGGGCCTATTTCACAAAAGTCGGCATCCACGACGAGGCACCTGTGGACCAGCATTAGCTTCTGGCTTCTTGAAGCCCATGCCTGCAAGTGCAAAGGACCTGGACAAGACGTTTGCCACCCTTGATGTGCGAGACCCAGGATCGAGATCAGCACTTTATCGAGCGCTGTCAATCCCATGCTGCCGCCGTAGCACGCAGTAACGTCTCTGAGGTTGACAAGGATGGCCAGCTGTCCTTCAGCGAATTTGCTGCCGGTGCGCTGCTACTTTACCAAGATGCTCTGGAAGACGAACTGCATTATCTTTTCGAGACTTGCGACAAGGACTTTCCGGTTGAGCTTCAAGTGTCCACTGCGCAACACCCGGGCAAAGCCCAATAAAAGCACAGGACAATGATGGCATACTCAACAGCCAGGAGGCCAGGCCAAAAAGCGGTGCTGTACTGTATTTCTGTGGACCTGAATCAAGGCCGAGACTTTCCTGAGCAGTGTACGTGCTGCCACCGACCTGGGTGGCAGAGTCTCGTCCAGAACCGAGGCCCGGATAGTACATTATACTAGATTGTGTTATATGATTAATATTGTTACTATTTGTTATTATTATTGTTATTTTTACATCGCGTTTGTATCGCAATTTTTGTTCATGTCAGATTATACTTCTTTAGGGCTCATGACCCGAGCGAAGTGCCGTCAGGCCTTCTTGCAAAGTGGGCAGATCAGCTTCCAGCAGTTGCACCTTGGATCCAGATCACCAGCTAACTGCAACAGTCTAAGGAGAAAGAGTTCCAACAAGCCAAATCGGCTAACAGTCCTGCTTTGTGGCCTCAGTATGAGATGGAGGGAGAGTCCAGAAGAGATGAGGGAACTGCCCCAGGAAGGATTTCTTGATGGCGCCGCTGTCCTCTCGACCTTCAAGCGCAGCGTCCTCCCGCCTCTCTAGCCGAGCTGGCTGAGGGTCTTTCGCGCCTTATCAGCGATTAAAGCTCTGACTGTTTTCGGCAAAAAAAAGGCCCTGCGGCTCTGCTCAGGTCGTAGGACAAGGGCTTCATCCCTGCATGATGCCATCCTTTAATTCACTGAATCGTGGAAGATCGAGAGCTCCTTCATGGGACCTCCAGGGCGTTGCATGCTGGGGCGCCGTGGTGCAGAGCTGCAAACCACCGCCCCTAAGAAAGGCAGTCGCTGAGAGCTCCACATCCAACAAGGACCGAGCCTAACTGGCCTTAACTACCCCATCCCCATCCCCGGCAGCCTAAACCTAAACCAGCTTAGACCCAATGCCACAGTAAAGGAGAACCCAGACCGGCTCAGCCCCTGCCAATCGGAACTGCAGTAACAATTCAGCTGTGGGGCAGTGAGGTGATTTCACTGTCTTGCGATGGTGACTGCTAATCACATGCCAGGCTGATGCACCTTGAAATACAGTCCTACCTACGAACGGCCGACACTAAGAGTCAAGAATGAAAACGGAAGAGCTTGAAAAAGACGTCAGCCCGGCCATGGCAATCTCGCAAAAGCGATGCCCTCTCCAAGCTGAAACCTGCGTCGTTGATGCAATCGTGCTGTCTCACTGCCATGCGGAGTTCCTCCGCCGGTCGGAAGGCGGAAAGGCGCCGTCTCAGAAGAAAGGGTTTAGGGTTTAGGGTTTAGGGGTTTGGGGTTTAGGGTTTAGGGAGAGGCGAGTTGATCGCTGTTTCCGTCATCCGAGTCGTCTCTCGTCTCGTCTTCGAGGTTGTGACTTCCCCCCACTGCCATCGCGGCTCGAGAGACGTACTGACACCTAGGGGCTCCTACTTCTGGTGCGGAGCCATGCAGCCCAGTTCCCAGTCACGCTTGGCAGTGGAGAATTGCACACTGCAAAGCAACACACTGCACATCATGCCGAGGTGGGCTCCACCGGTGGGGCTGTCCCCACATCTAGCCGCATGCCTTTGTTGTGTGGCTCTTGCCGAACGTTGATGGCACAATTCCTTTCACAGCAGTTGTTCAACGAGTCCTGTCCGTTTCCAAGCCAAGGCCGCGCCCACCACCGTGAGCCCGCCACAGATGTGCCGTCACCATGTCCGGGTGACACGCTCACCCAGTCCTACACGCATGGTGGCAGCCCCACAACACATGCCCCACGCCACGGTGCAGCCGATGATCCATTATGGAGGCCGATGCCCACACACGCCCAAACGAAACATGTGGCAAGCGCCCCTCTCCTCTTCGAAGCCTTCAGGACGGGCCACGCCGCAGCCATTGCCGGGAATGCCTTTCAAGCTCCTTGGCGGATGGATGATTTATTTCGAAGTTGGTGCAAGCTTGGCTGTGTTTACCTTCGCGCCTTAGGCCTGCGCCTGCCCCAGGGCCCGTCCCCGTCGCGATGACGCCCGCGCAAAGGCGCCACCGAGCCCTCCCTTTCCATCGGAACCCCCATGTCGTGTCCTTCAATGTGGGAAGGTACTTCCCGAGCGCTTCTCTTAGTCCGACTGGCGGCTATCCCATGGGGCCGCCTGCAGTCGCTGCACAGATGCCGCGGTTGTTGAGGCAGGCCATATTAACATGCATATCGTCATGCTTGGCTGCTGCAGCTGATGCGCTGATGCTGATCGGCAGAATAGCGTGATGATGAGAATGAGGAGGAGGCGTAGGTGCAGGCGTCGCTTGAAATGTGTACACGGTGGTGGTAGAGATGAATGGATGATGCAGTGATGAATAGGAGGACGGGCCACGAACCGACAAAGGGATGCAGTACCATTGGTCCTCTCGCAGATGAATGTCATGGTTCCCTCTGGGTCTCTCCCTCTCTCTCTCTGAAGTATACTCGTATGTCAGAAGCAGAGCAGTTCACCAGGTCCGAGGAGGGCGCTGCTCCTGCATGGAAGGACATGCAGCAGCGCCTGGGTCGGACGGCCTCGTCCGTGGCCACCACGGTGCCACCAGGCCCACGAGGTTAGTTCTAGTTTCACGCAGAGTCGGAAATTCAGAGGCTGCCAACAGAACCCATTGATGAAATCGTGCTTTTTTTGCCAGGATCCCCTGCAGAGCATGCGGCCTCGTCCTTGCTTGCGGTCTCCGCATGCCAAAGCCCCACGCCATCTCAGCAGCAGCCGACGAGACTGGCGAAACCCACTCACCTGCCACTTGTCCAGGTTGGTTTCTGCTTCTTGTGGCTAGGACAGAGTCAAAATTTACAAGAAGCCGGTCCCCAGCTCCAGGTTGGATGTGAAGCTGGGGGACTCGCCTTCGCCCACGCCGCCTGTGCCCGGCTCTCCCGTGGACCTGCCGTGGACGCGCCTGGCCTCCACCACTCTCGAACAAGGCTCGCGTGATCTGCTAAGGGAGGTTTCTGAAGGAAGATGAGGCAGGCTCCATTCATGGGATCAAGAGGCGACTTTCCATGCCTGTCAGAGACCAGTGCGCCAGGACTTGGCGACGAGGCGAAAGCCGACGACGTCCTTCGAAGCAGCGGCCTGGGACAATCATCGAACGTTATCTGATCTCGGGCGCAGTGGGGCCATGCAGTGGGGATTGCAACCTGAGGACCCGAAAGCAAAGTGGAAGATAGTCGGAATGCAGGTGCAGCCTCTGACCTTGGCGAAGACCTCAACCAAAGACTCTTTGGGCTTCCACCCGCATGTTTTGCAGGTGCTGAGCCGCCTGCCAGTGCCCAAAAAGGCGGGCCTCAGCTGCTCTTCTTCCGAGCTCTTCTCTGCACTTTTCCATCGTGTCCCAGGCGAGCCAAAAGATCCGAGTCCACTAGGCCCGGCACTCGAGCAGCTGATAATTGCCAGAACGATTTTCGAGTCAGAGAATTACTCCTGCCACCTCTTGCCTCCTTTCGCGCGCACCCCCGTTGCCCCCCTTCGAACTTCCTGTGCACCTGTGCCTGGAGCGCCAGTGCTCCCCAGTCCTTTGACCTGCACCGATTGTCTGGAAGTTTTGCGTGGCCTACCTGAAGTGACTCGTGGTCAAACATGCAATGAATTCCAGTAGGCATGGAATTCAAGCAAGACACCGCTTGACGTTCAATCTCACACCGCATGTCTCTTGAACGGCACATAACGAATTTACCGAGTTGGTGCGTTCGTGAGAGGATGAGAGGAATGAGAGAATTCATGTGCACGTAGTACCACGACATGGCGGAGATACTTTGAAATAGCAGCCGAACTCGGTAAATCAGACAGTGAAGTCTGTTAGTGTATCTGTGTCTATTGGCTTCCTTGGTTTTTATGATGTTGGAGAGCTGCACTGTCTTTATGGTTGCTTGTAGAGCTGCTGTTGCCAATGAGGAGACTGGCTTTAGAGTCAGTGAGATGGAGCGATGTCTCCGAGAAGCCTCGGGGATTATGGGCCGTATGGTGGTCTCGTGGTCTTAGATTTGCTGCGGGTGTTACTTTGCAGAAAGCGCGGGGCTTCTCTAGCGTGACGCACTTCTGTGGAGCCTTGGCCTTGCCTGCCTGCGAGAGAGCCAAAGTACCTCAAAGCCAAAGACCCAGCCCTCCCGTCACTCCCCGGCCAAGCAGGGAGAGCTCTTCGGGAGCCCTCATCGGTGCACTTTCGCCTTCCGTCTCGAGCCTCCATGCTCTTGGTCGCGGATTCGCTGCGGTCTTTTCGATTTGACAGAGGTGTGAAGGTGAAGGTGAAAGAAGCCAATCCTGGACTGACACTGGAAACAAGACGACGGCAATTGCATGCTGGTTGTGCTTCCAAATCTACGTGTTGTGGCACCGGGACCATCCAGCTGGTCACCCAACTCCCTTCGCTTGACGTCATGCGAGTCGAAGCATATAGTCAAAAAAAGTATAGGCAGACGTACACGTAGTCTTGATCATGCCCATCTTATTACCGATTCGCGCAACAAGCTGGCAATGACTTCCTAGCAGCCAGCAACGCAGAGCGCACGCATCAAGCCGAAACGACTTCCCTTCTTCTGCGGTGATCGCACTGCATGGTCAGCCTTGCAGGTCAAGAAAAGAAAGCAGATCCTGTTGTGGATGAGCTGAAGGCGGATGCGAGACGTGCGAGCCTTCGGCTCAGTTTGTTGAGCTTGGCCGAGTTACTTGTTTCCTGCCGCCTGGCCGCCCTAGCCTTCACGGCCTGTGGCTGCAGATGGCTGCAGGTCCGGAGCCAAAGGCCGATGTTAGAAGGGCAGGCCGGACGTGCGCGGTAGCCGCCCTGACTACCACAATTCACGGAGTTGTGATGCCTTGCAGAGAGAGGAAGGCGCACGCACAGCAAGTCTGTTCCCCGAGCTGCCAAACCCGGAGGCGAAGAGAAGAAAGCGGATGCGAAAGGCGCGGCTCCTTACAAGAGTTGCATTTGGAAGTTCGGAATCCGGGTGTGTGTTTTCTTCGAACTCAGCAGCACCACCTCTCCTGCAGTATCAACGACTTGAGGCGAGGAGCGTAAAGCAGACACGAGAGCTGCAGAAAGAAGTGTTGTGCCAAGTCTGGAGATTTTCCTTGAAGTCGTTGTACAGAAGTTATCGTTGCCAGTAACTAGTTTATCCGCATCCCAAATCTCTGAGTTGCCGAGGCGACGAGAGACGAGCCGACGCCAGGGTCAGAGGTCAGGGTACCGTCGTTCTTGGCTTGTGCAAGAGCGAGGCAGTGATGCCAAACATGACAGAGACAGCATCAGCAGCAGTAGTGGTAGCAGCGGCAGGACAAGTATGTAGTGGTAGAAGTACTTACTAACTGGACAGTAGTACGTAGTAGTAGTTGCTGTCGTCGCACGCGTCGTGGTGGTAGTGGCGTGGTAGGGACCGGGTAGAATATAGTCATATAGTAGTAGTCGTCGTCGTAGTAGTCGTAGCACCAGTAGTAGCAGTACTAGTTTACTAGCAGAGGGGGAGGGGGAAGCAAAATCAGCCAGTAGCAGTAAGTGAGTAGTGCGCAGCAGCAGTAGCATCTGACAACTTCGGTCTACCTTGCACAGGAGAGGAGCGGAAAGAGGTGCGGATTAGAGGTGCGATGATTCCGATGAAGTTGTGGCAAGTTGTGCCCTTATCAAGTTTTGAGGCTGCTTGCTTGGGGTAAGGAGCATGTCACTGTCAGGTGATGACCCGAGACCCATGGAGAGGAGAGGCAGAGGCGCTACCGTGCCTTTACATCTAGCTTCGAGCGGAGCGGTGCTTCTGCTGCCGGAGATTGCAGGAGAGGATGCAAAGCCTGGCATTAGGGGTCGAGGAGCCTGAGCTTTCGTGGAACCGCACTGTGCGGCTGGATTGCTTGCCGCAAGTGTGCACCAGCTTGGCCTGGCCACTGAAAGGAGAGGAAGGGAAGGTAGTTGACATCAGACTTCGAGGCACATGTCCCAGCTGCACAACGCCTGTTTCCATGTTCTAAGAACAAAGGCGATGAAGCAAAGGCGGCACGCGGAAGAGGCCTTGGCGGAGCATGGCATGTGAACGGCCTCAAGAGCTTTGCTTCGGAGCTCTACACGTAGGCGAAGACATGAGGGCAGAGGCTAGGAAGAGGCTTTCCGGCCGTACACTCAGCTCGGAGTTTTCGGCCGGGTGGTCCGAGTCCGACATTTGGGCCCTCTTTTTTTGCGGCGCAGCTCTTTAATGGTTTTGACTGGAACAACACAAATCACAAATGTTCGTGACCAGATAGAGTACAAGCTGCTTTCAAACCCTTCCACCACTACCCAGGTGAGGAAGCAAAAGACGTCAGGGAGCGGCGCCGGTTGGGCCAGGGTCCCAAGGAGCAAAAGGACGTGAGCAGCAATCTCATTCTGTCCCACATCATCGACTCCTTGAATCGAGGTGAAGATGGAAAAGAGGAGGCCCGGAAGCCGGCAGCCAGCCGCCTCCTGAGCTTTCTGCATGGTGGTATGTGACGATGGTGTTTTCTGTTCATATACGGTTTGTAAGCGTGCAGAACAGCAAGAGAGTGCCCAGGGCGTGGTGTGGAAAAGGGCAAAGAACCCGGGTCGCCGGTGAAAGCAAAGCCTGCGAGGGAAGGTCAGGACCCCGGCCCCGAAGCCTTGATCTCGTCTCCTGGGTTCTTGTTAAGGGGTTTAAGTTAAGTTACCATTTTCTAGGGATCTGTAGTAAATCATATGGTTTCCTTATTACTTTAACAAGAGTCAAACCTCTTAACAAGAACCCAGTCTCAGTGCCTGCGCGGGCGACCGGAGTTTGGACTGGGTCCTCGGAGGCTGTGATGCTGTGATGTGAGAGCACAGGTGAGCGAACAGCCGAGAAGCCGACCGAGAAGCCCGAGAAGCTGGAGAAAGAGCGGGATCTTGGGGCTCCTCCAGAAAGTTCTGCCTCAGCATGGAGAAAATGGCGGTTGCTGCAAGAAGGCTCTGAGCAGAGGCGCCACCTTTTTGTGCAGAAGTGTCGCTTGATGCTTCCGCTAAGCTGCCACGGTTTTCAGGCCAGAGGAGGAGCAGGAGGCGAACTTCTGCAGGGAGATGTTCATCAGCCGAAGACATGGCCGGCCGGAGGACGATGTGCATTGTTGACATGCCCCGATGCTCGAAGAAGATTCCGCCTGCGCAGGACCACTACCGAGTACTTGGCGTGCTGGGCAAGGGATCCTTCGGTGTTGTTCGGAAAGTCCAATGCCGGCAGACAAAGGCCATGCGCGTGACACTGGTTTGCAAGACACTACACAGTACTCCGTCGCTGCGGGTCCGTGTGTAGGTACCTTTGTTATGAAAGATAGCTCGGATTCCCAGCCGAGGATGAAGATCGTTGACAAGCAGAAGGCTTTGAGTGGAGGATATCCCTTGAAGCTGATCATGGAAGAGATCGACAAGCTCAAGTCGCTGGATCACCCAGCTGTTCTGCGACTTTTTGCCGCTTAGCTGTCAATGGCAGACGGGAGGCTGCACACCGCACTGGAAGACTTGCTCACTCACTGTTGAGGTACTGAACCACAGGGTAGCAATGCGTGAAACTGAGGAGTACTACGCTGACTCCAGATCCCTTTACTTGATCACGGACCTCCTTCCAGGCTCCGGGCCTCTCTGCCCTTCCTTTGCCGCCTTGGAGTCGGTGCCAGAGCTGCAGGTGGGGACTTGCTCGAGGCGGTTGAGAAGTCGCGCCTTGGCAAATACACACATAACAAAAAAGGCTTTACACGCGCGAACTGCGCAGAGCGACTCCGGAAATCAGGTATGCCGAGAAGAAGCAACTGCCAGAAGCATGGGCAACCTGGCCGCATGCAAGCAGAATGGGTGCTGAGGAGGACAGTCTGCACAAGGTGCTCTGACCTGAGGTTGCCGCAGTCTTCAGGCAAGCCTGTGAAGGCGTGGCGTACTGTGTCTTGGTTGCAGGAATGAATGGAGCAGGGTCCGGTGTTGCATTCGCACAGCCGTTGAAGCTGAGGTCATGCCAAGGGCGTGATGCACAAAGACTTGAAGCTTGAGAACATTATGCGTCTCGGAAGAATCGAGGATAAATGCCCACTCTGGATCTGGGCTTGAAGATAGCCAGTGCCCAACGCAGGTGATAAGGTGTGCTTTGCCAGGAAGGTAGGCCGCCAACATGTCAGTGGTTTGTTCGCTCCAGGCTGTGTTCCATTGATCCTCCTGAAGCCGTTGTCATCGACGTGGGCTTGGCGGAGCTCTTCCCCCCTTCTCAGGCATGCGTCTTGCAAGGGATTTGTCGGCTGTTGTAGGGGGAACCCATCATGGATGATAGTTCATTGCACCGCTGACACTGCTGTATGACTCCATGCTTGCATTGAAGAGCTCCACCCTCTCGAGCCCTTCAGGCCGACTCCTTTAAGTCCGCAGATGCCGCCGGAACCCTGGCGACCATGGCTCCGGAGGCAGAGGGGGCGAGGGGGGGAGTCGCAGCTCTTCCCTTCAGAGCTGGTCATAGCAATGTGCAAACATGTGTTGGCATTTAGGAGCTAATTAAGATCCGAAGTCCAGAAGAACTTCGCCCACGATTGACGCAACCACCCCAGTCGCCAAGCCATAATTAGGGGTAGACGGGTAGACCGATAAACCCCCGAGTGTAGAATAGGGAAAAGAGCCAAAGCAAATGCCGAAGCCCGGCATAGCCCGGCAGCCAACGCAAACACCACTGTTTGGGCATGAATGCACTAGCAGCATAAATTGACCTCATCATCATCATCATCATGAGCAGCCTCACCAGGAGGAGAAGTAGGAGTAGGAGCAGGGCCCGTCGACTCCTGAAGCCGGACCCTCCGCAGGTAATTCGCGGAAGCTTCTGCGCAACGCGGGCCGCACCCAGACCTCCTCCATGCCGGCAGTATGAGCCGAGATGCAAAGACCAACAATCCACAGGCTGATAGCTTTGGGGTTTAGGGGTTTAGAATGGTGGGGTTGCGAGAGTCCTGGATGCAAAAGAATGGTGGGTTCAAGCCTTCAGCTGCCTCAGAGCCTCCTGGCCTGACATACTGGTGCTCAATCCCCCGATGCCAAGGCAAAGTGCGATGTGCGGCGAGCTTAGCGCACCAATCACCTGCGAGGACTTCACAGGGGCTTGATATATCCTCGGCTTCTGCCTCTGTTCTATACATACATGTACATGGATGATGCCTATAATATGTGTTTCTGTTCTTTTGCACTTTCTTGCAGGTAATCGTGTCGCTCTTTGTCATGGTCGTGTGCTGTTGGCTTGTGACCATATGCCTTTGAATGTGTGTGTGTGTGTGTATATATAATATATATATATATATGTATATATGCTTGCAAATCTCCTCCTGCTCCTCCTCATCCTCCTCAGGCAAGACATCCATGCATGCGTACAAGCGAGCAAGCGCATAGCGAGAGATATTCAAGAATGACAAGACAGACTGGCTTTGCAAGTAAACTTTAAACACACAGCGCAGATAGAGAGATATATAGATAGACACATAGACAGACACAGTTATGCTTGTGACTTCTTGCGTGCAGCAAAAGGCACATGGTCAGCCACTCCCCTTCCGAGCTCTCCTACAACTTTCAACAGGTCCGATGTGCAAAGCCTCCTCCGGACCATTTTACTGTTGCTTCGAACCTTCATGTTCGCACCTCGTCTAGGTGCGCTGAAACGCGAATGTCGAACTGAGGTGGTCATTGGGCTGCTGCAGCTTTTCTGCATACGGGGCCTCCCAGAATCTAACATTGATGCTTCTGTGCCAGTCCGGGCAGGATGTGAAGTCTGGCTGCCATAAGCATTCCTTGCTACGCGGAAAGGTCTCTATGCGCTGCTGTGCACACGGCCGAGACGGCTGAGAGACTCGCCACTCCCGGAGGATGCGAAGCCCGAAGATGACGACCCCAGCTGCCCCTCAGCCAGAATCGGGGTGCGCAGGAGAATTTTGGTGCAAGCACTTCTGTTCGGTTTCGTTTATGGCCCCTGTTGCTCTTGTTCCTTTATGATGGAGACTTGGCTTTGCGCAGCCCAGGTTACTACAACTACTTCTATCCATTCAGGCCACCCCTTGGCGAGTCTCGCGCAGAGCCCCGGCTGAAATGGGACGCTGATTCTAACTGGAGCTGGACTTTGAGCTTCAAGTCCGACCATAATTACCAAGACACCGTTTGCAGGGGTTCGCCATTGGAGAATGCAAGAGTTTGCACTGAAGATCTGGTCAGGGGGCTTGCATGGACAGTGTATAGCAACACACTGCACTGTCAACCTCGAGCGGTGCGAATAGTGGACTCTCGACAGTTGCGAAATCGCTTGGCGAGGAGCTCAAGGCTTACATCGAGCGGCAGAGGCGGGGCCCAGATTTGGCTCGCTTGCGCTGCTCCGCTGTTGCTGACGCCGCTGGGCGTCGAAAGAGCGGAGATGGGATTGCGCAGACCGCTAACGGTGAACACCAGAAGCACGGATGTAGGATGATTAGTGCTGGGTTCTTCTATATTGTTTTGCCTTAAACGCATGAGGATTCTACTGTAAAAGGTGTCCTTTCGGGTCTCTTGGAGGCTTAGATTTGGGGCCTGGTCGAATTTGGGATGATGAGGAAGATCGTGTTACATCAAGTGAAGTGCAGACAAGAACCGGGCCTCTGGCTGTTGCCGCATAAGTCACAAGGTTTGGTTCAGGGCATCGTGATTGGAGTTGGTGTTGGGCTGGAGCTGTTAGCAACTAGCTTCATCTAGCTCGTTACAGTTGGTGACCGGCCGTTTCTAAACAGTGCTGTCGTTTGGGATGGATGGTTGTGCACATGTAGCTTTGCGCATCCTAGAGGCGGATCCGCTTGTATCCCAGGACTTGGTCAAGGAGCTCCTGACATTTGATGAACCTTCCAGGCTGGTCAGCTTCTTGCGGTTTAAGACTGTGGGAAGTCAGAACATCGACCTCTGCAAGAGCACGGCCATGGTGCAGATGCCGGATTCGAATTCGGCTGTACACGAGACCCAACACAGCAGTTCAAGTTCAGCCCTAAACCCAGACAGGCGCCCACATTTCAAGCCAGGCCGCACCTGATGGCCGTCCTAACTCACCGGTGGCTACAAGAGTCCCGGGAGCGGGAGCAGGTTTTAGGAGACCCCGACGGCTTGGGTGCAGCAATAAGCTCTTCGTTTACGGCTTCTGAGATAAGGACCTGAAGTTGCTTCAGCATGAGTTAGTCCTGACATTTTACAGACGGCTTTAAGGATCTTGAAGTGGTGTCGCGTCGTAGGACTTTTCGGACACGGGATGGGCCTCAGAGTTTTCTGTTTGTGGAAAGAGCTTCCATACGGATCGTGAGAGCGCAGAGTTGCAAGATCACTTTTGCTAGGAGCCGGGCAAGTGGATAGCTGCTAGGCTGCGATGGAGGGGTGCGAAGTCCAGGTCCTGGCTTTGCATATCGCAGATCATCACATTCAGTGTCTAAGAACGCTGAATTTGCACCCGATGGCCGCAGCAAGAAGTGAATTCGTGGCTGGTAGCGGGGTGCGAGAAGAAACCTATGCTTGTCATGGGACTCGTGATTTGAGGTTTGCTTCAGTTTCACCGGACCAATGCGCTGGCGCAGGCGAGGATCTTGAAGAGAACTGGAAGAGTGCACCCGTGAGTCACTCGCAAGAAGCGCAGGGCGGTATTTGATGCCAGGCGGTGCTGCTGGACATGGCATCGCAGCTGCCACTTGCACAGTTGCGGGAGCTGACACAGCTCTTCGAGTCCATGGATAAGGACTTACAAAGCCTGCTGGCCCTGCCACTGCAGTTGTACCCTCACCACATCTGGCGTGCCGACGTTGTTGCTTCAGTCACTGTAGTGGGGTTTGAAATTGGGATCCCAGCTCGGCCGCCTATGACTTAATTAGCGGCCAGATCCGCAAATAGGTACAAGGGGCCAAGGCTTTAACTTCCAGATGTGCGGGAGCTGGTCAGTGAGCAGGACGGAAACGGAATGCTGGATCGGGGAGAGCTCACCGAAGCGCTCATGAAGGCGTGTTCATTCCAGGGCACAAGCGGCGCCCGAATCGGGAACTGTCCATCGAAGCTTAGCCGGGGTGACGGCTTCATGTCCTACATCATTGGATGGATGGATAGCTGACATGTAGAAGCTCAGAATAGCTCAGAACTTTTGGATGGAGTGCGCAATCAGAACTAGGACAGCCGTCAAACAGAATAGGCCAGGTATGCATAGTCAATCATAGTCAGGACAGTCACGGTATACATATGTTAGTTCCATTTTGTCAGCTTTCAATTTCCCACACTGTCACACGTGTGTATGGCTGTGTCTGAGCACACGAAAGAATAGGCGGATCGACGTTCACGGTTGCGTGTGCACATTGCCCAAGAGCAACACTGTGCGAGGTTCTTACGGATGTTGTTACTGTCCTTGTGAAGTGCGCGGCTCGTGCACGCGGCGATTCCGAAGCTCCCGCGATGCGCATGTTCGAACAGATTCGCCGTTGTCTTTCCACTTAATTACCACAAAGCCGCATCCGCTGGGGAGTAGGCCTCGTCATTGTTGAATCGTGCTCCCGTCAAAGTGCCGTGCAGTTCTGGGCTGCACATCGTGCTCCCGCCACATCGCCGTGCGTATGTTGGTTGGGATTCGTGACTAATCGTGCTGTAAACAGTTTGGGGTGCCGGCCACACTGTGCTGCCTCTCGATGAGCCTTAGCCGAGGCTGGCACTAGGCCAGGCCCGCCGTTGCCCGAGCGGCATGGAAATCCGAAGCTCCGAGCCTCCCCAACGCTCCGCGTTCGAAGGGATCGTTTTCTCTAGACTCTAGAAGGGGTGCCATATCATGCAGCAGCGGGAACCGCAGCAAGATGGGAACACTGCGCAAACGTTGCTTGTCCCCCTGCAGACCCTCTCCGAGCGTGAGCGTCGAAACCCTTGGCAAGGCTCGGGCCGTGGAACGACCCGGAGCCTGGCTAATCATTGAAGAAAAACCAGCACCACAAGAAACATTCAAGACTATTTACAGTGTCAGGAAGTTGAGTCTTCAGTTTGTCCTGAGGCAGGATTGGAGCCCGAGCCCGCACGTCAAGCCGCCGTTCGGCTCTTGGATGATGGCGGTGGCTCTGTGGAATTCTCCCGCCTCTCGGGCTTGACCTTGATATCAGTGAGGGCTTCGGAGTTGAAAGAAGTGCAGTCATGAGCATCGGCTTCTCATGCTCTGCAGGGTTTCAAGAAGGTGACCTTGCACCAAGCGTGTGCGTCAGCGTGCGACCAGCTGTCGTTGAGTGGGAGTCGCTGGCAATCAACTCAGAGCAGGTAGCACGACAGGCTCACCGTCTAGTTTTCATTCACCACCACACAAACACCATGCCCAGGCGGCTAGGTACAAGTAGACCATCATGAGCTATCACCACGAGATGCCTGTGGTTGCCTTGAGCAGCCACAAAAACACTCGCCGTTGTGAGAGTCGCGGTCGTCGTCGTCATTCTCAAGGTCTCAAACTCGTTCTCGCAGCAAGACCCGGACTGTAAGAACAGTAGGAGGAGGAAGAGGATGAGCCCAGCGGCCGGATATGCCAGGCTTTGTGGCCGCGTTGGTTCCGTCGTGTCGAGAGCTCCTCACAGCCCCCTGACATGCAATCGGCGATAGAGTCGTGTCCACATTTTCGTCCACGGCTCTTGGAATCGCGTCTCGAGGCCAAACTGCTTCGAAGCAGCTTCGACAGGCGTTCAGCCGTTCCCTTTGCAGACACGTGACATGAAGGTTTAGCGGTTTCTGGCCACATCTCGTGTCTCGTGACAGGCTGGATGAGAACGGCTCCTTGGTCGCCAAGACTTGTATATTGGCAGGGGTTTCCTGTCCCGGAGCACTAACCGCTAGCCTCTAGCACCTGACATTGGACGATGCAGGCGATGGCTTCGTAAGCCGCGCGGAGTTACAGCGCTTGCTGGAGAGAGCTGGATCCAGACTGTCGCATGCGCAGCAGCAGCTGGAAAAGTGCCTTGGATCTTCGGGGGCGGGTGCTTCGCCGGAGTTTCATTTCAGGCTACTTCGAACTACGTTCATGCACGTGAGAAGACAGAGCGCGAGAGCGCGCGTTCTGCTATCGTTGTCGGCAGTACAACGTACGGCTTTGCCACAATCAGACTGAGCTGCCTTGCCCCGGCAAGGAAAGACAGGCATTCAGTGACTCAGCAGAAGAGCGATCGTGTGCCAGACTCCTCAGACGAGGACCCTTTTCAAAACAGCCTTGCACGTAGGGCGTTCCTGAAATCCATACATGGTGAGCCTGGCCTGCCCTGTGCGAGTTGCGAGGGTCAAAATCCGTATCCCCTGCAGCTGTGGATCACTCACAGTGTCTCCCTGCTCTGAAGAGCCCCGATTTCTTGCGCAGCTTGTCGCTGTCATTCCTTCTGTGCCTCTTGCTGCCTCTCTCACTCTGTGTCTCACTCATCCGGATCCGTCGAAGTGTTCATCGATCCCCAGAGCGAAATGCTTGAGTGCGGCACATCACAGAAACACTTCTGTGAAGCACATTTCTTCTTTGCCCTCAGCTAGTGGTGCCAGCTGCCAACGACAGCTTTTTTTCCGTTCAACCCTTGGCTGCAGGATGTTTGCCCCTCGAGCGAGTCCAAGCGCCTCCGGGCTGCGAAAGCAGCGCGGAAAGCCTTCGACAACATAAGCAGCTTGGCCCCAGCTTGGCTATGAGAGGTGCACGGTCCACAGCTGCAGGAAGCTGAGCTCGGAGAAAGCTGAGGTGGTGAAGGGCGCGTGCGCGTCTCCTTCGAATCCTTGCAGAAGCTGCTGGGAATCTCGGCATGCCTTAGGTCCTAAGTGTGGTCGCCCTGTCCCATCGTGAAAGTTTCAGTGGCACGACGTATTCTGAGGAGATTTTACCTCCTGAAGCGGCTGGGCCAGCAGTGGATGAGTCAAAGGGAGGGCTCCTTGAAATTCGGGGTTTTCCAGGTTTCCATGATTCCGGGACCCTTACAACAAGGACCTTGTTGCTTCGGGTCGATCAGGGGCCATATCCCAAGTCTCGGCTCCTAAGCCGAAGCTCAGAACTTCCTGCAACCGAAGGCTGCGAGAAAGTGGCGCAGCACACGGATTTATGAGTCGGGAAAAGGTGAGCGAGTTCAGTGAAATGATGCTGAACGCGCCGGCAGGGATTGCAGAGTCCTCTACAAGTGATTTCAAAAATTCAGCTGCCTGCTAAGGCTGCTGGTCCGCAAACACATCAGGCAATCGGAGGTAGATAGACTTCAGACTTCAACCTATACAAGTATAGTAGGCTAAGGTTGTTTGCGGAAGCTAGCTGGAGATTGCGAAGCAAACCCGGCCACAATCCTTGGCCCTCAGCCGCAAGGAATGGATCACACAGAGCTTCAAACCAGTCCCTTACAGTAACGCTGCTTCATTGGGCCAAAGTTGGCACCGCAAGGTCGCGCACAAGCCGACTGGCCGGGGCACTGTTGGGGGATTTGACAGACATTACGGGTTTAGGGTTTAGGGTTCATTGGAAACACAGCATGTAAGAAATTCGCTGCTCCCCGAACTGTCTAGCGCGCTACCACACAGCCGCCCAGCATCCTAACAGCTGCATGTGACATGTCGCAGTCATGTCGCCAAATCCCTTCAGGAACACGGTGCATTGAGTGCCGGGCCTAATGTCGAATCTTCCAGCTTCGTTGGAACTCGGCTGGAAGGGAAACTCTTTATCGCTTCTAGACTGCGCTGGGCAAGCCAGCTTTGCTTGATGCTGAGCTTCCTTCCTTTGAGCATGCCTGCATGCTCATGCCAGAAACTGGCAGCTAGGAGCATAGAAGACTACGCTTCTTCCTGAGCGGCCAAAGCATCACGACGATGTTTTTTCTTAGCTCGGCCGGCCTACGTGGACTGCAAACCCCACCATGGACCATGGACAGCCACAGGGCTAGGTTGTTGTCAAGATGGGGTCTGCGAACCAGGCAGTACGGCTGCAGTGCACGGTGCAGCATGGCTTGCCGAGTTATCATCTGGGCACATCGTCGCTATTGCAAAAGCAACTACAAGACTCACCATCAACGATTCCCGCAGTGCTTCAGCAGCGAAATCTTCATACACAACGAACAGCATAAGAACGGGCAGGCATAGGACAGCCTCGGTCAAGCTGACATCGTATGTGTCCGATGGGCTCGAGCCTCGGAAGCACCCCCCAACGGCTTGCACATCTCTTGAAAGAGAGTGCCTGAGCATTGGGATGTTTCTGCGAGACAGTTTGCTCAGAAGCAGTGGCTAGTTTCCTGCCTGCTGCTGAACCCTCGCTGAAGAGCCTCGGCGGAACAAACATGCGCCTTCACTTCTTGCGACGACTTGGAATCGATCCAGTACTCCTTTGTACGGCCGTGCAACGGGCCACTTATCGGGAGGTGCCTATGATTGCGATTCGGTTGAGCAAGTCATGTCCTGCAATGGCAGTCAAGACGACGACACCGGGGGGATACCCCCCCTGCATGAGGAAGAAGTGAGCCAGACCCAGCCCACGAAAGCCTTACATTGCACAGCAAACCTCCTCACTTACTGGTACGTAGTGTATAAGGATCTTGACACCTCTAAGCTCTGTCTTCTGGCTATGGGAAAGAGAAGCAGAAGCAGATCTTCAAGCTCCTCTTCGGACTCCGACTCCTCCGAGGAGAAGAAGGCCCTGTTGGTTTAGAGCTTGGGGTTTAGAGGCTTGTTTTTTCTCATGCCATGGCGAGGACAAGAAGAAGTCCAAAAAGGAGAAGAAGAAGGAGAAGGAAAAGAAGAAGAAGAAGGTGCGTACCTGCACAAAAATGTGATTGCCTCTTTGCAGCAGTTGGCCGTTCCAGCGCAAATAGAGTGTCCAGGACAAGAAAAAGAAAAAAGACAAGAAGAAAGATAAAAAGACACCTGGCAGCCTGAAAATGTGCATCAATGGTTATCAAGCTGAAAATGGCAGTCGTGAGCACGATGACATTGACGATGTGAGTGAAAGCAATGATGCCACGGCAGCGGATATTGACGACAGAGCGTCATGTGCGACATTGGATCGGCACTGACTTTAAGCTACGAGGCTTGGCGGTTTTGGGATGCTTTCGGGTTGGCATTACATAGCCGTTTGTGCGGCGCAGTTCAGGTTAGCACTGGCACCGATCACATTGCCACAACCGTCCGCTACCTGTAGCTTTCCTGCCCTTGTAAAAGCCAGAGACTTCCTCCAGCTGATGACTGTGCTGTGTCGATTCTTTCGATCCAAGGGCGAGCAAAGAGCAAGAGGCGCCAAAGGCAACCCCTTGGTTTTCACTTGCCCTTCTTTGCTTTAGGAAGCCTCGGCATGCCCTTGGCCTTCCGGTCCTGAGATCAGCTCGAGATCGGAGCGGCAGACGCCCAGCCTCGGAAGATGATAGCCGTGGCCAGGTGCCCATGGTGCTGCCTCGAACGGGATCTGCCGCCGAGGCTGGAAGTGCGAAGTGTGCAACGAACGATCCCTGCTCGAACACCAGAAGTTTGGGCAGGGACGTCGTTGAGAGCCTAGAGCTGCCGGTTTGTCTTCAGGGTGCAGTGGTCATGCCCACCTTATCTCAGCAGATTGACTCCTGCTGGTAGAGATCGGAGTCTGAGTGCGCCTGGGATTGCAAGTCCCATATGGTTGCGGAAGAGGGGCACCCAAGTGGTAATCGAAGCGATCTCTTCAGGAGCGTGAGAAGCTATCACGCAGCAGTACGGTCCCAGTGGCTGTGTCGGGTGCTGAGCCGCTGAGCAGGAACCCTGCAGAGCACTTCGTGGGCGCAATAGTGCGTATACTTCTCGGAGCCAGAAGTGCTCCGAGGCCATTGCCATGTGGCAGTGTGGTAATGCAAAGCAGGGACGAGTAACAGATACGCATGGCCCTGTACACCAGATAACAAAAAGCGTTGGCAGCCGCTACTGCAGGAGCGCAGAACCCTACAATTACAGCAGAAGGAGAACAATGACAGCGGGTGTGCTCATTAAAGAAAGACAGAGCCACGTGGTCCTTGTAGCCAACATGTCCAATCTTGAGCTCATGCTAACATGTACGTGACACGAAGGCCTGGCAACACTCCAGAAGTGAACGACGCTGGGCGCTTCCAGCAAGCAAAGGTGCTTCGTTTGTTATGCGTTCGAGTCCGAACCTTTGCTATCGGATCGAGAGCTACGGGCCATCTAGCATCTGCAAATGACTTGGCACAGGCACGACTCGATGCACTTCGAGCAGCTCACCAGAAGCCTGAGAAGAGCGTGGGATACACCGTTCGGAAGCCCAACTGGTAACAAAGGTTCTCCGGCGGAGCAGATGCAGAGCCAGCCGAACAGGATAAATCACAGCAGTTGGCCTTGAACATAGTTTGCAGCGCATCATAAGATAAGCATAAGACTTGCCCAAGTATGTGTTTTTTTATAGTATTATAGAGAATTCCACGAACCTGCTTGTTTGGCTCCTGATTTGGTGAGGTGGGGTTGCGATTCGCCCGTTATGTGCAATGCTGCGCGATGCTCGCAGAGGGCATTTCGGCTCAACTGTCGGAGCGGCAAGCCACAAAGCAGAGCTCCTGTGGTTACGATGAGGTTGCCCGGTGTTTGCACAGTCCGGCAAGGTTTTCGTCGCTGATTGAACTGCCGGAACAGGGAATGCGAATCAACTCCAGCATGCAATCTGACTTGCCTGGGTTCGCACGTTGCGGTCATGTGGGGATCTCTGTGGCCCGCCGGCGGAATCGTGATGGGTCTGGCATTCCTGCCCCGAGGCACGCTCTGGGCTAACGGCTAGAGGAACCTTGGACGGTGCCACCTTTTTGATGAGGCTCGAGGATGCGGGAAAATGTCGAAACCCAGCTGGAGGCTCGCGGTCATCTCGAGTCGAGGAGATGGTATGCCGTGCATAGGTTCTGTCTTCAACACATGAAACTGCAGTTCATCAGGCTAGACTCGGCTAGACCTTAGTTTTATTGTGGAGTCGACTGCTCTCGTCAGATGAGATGGAGATGCCAAATCCTTCCCGACTTGGCTGCTGCAGTTTTCACGAAATTGCCTGCAAGATGCTTGTTGATGATGGTTTGTGGCTTCTCTACGTAGCATCTAGAATCTAGAGTCTAGACTCTTACCAGACAAGGAAGCATTGCCCACGATGGTTCCACCGCTAGGCCGCAAAGAAAGCCGACGTGAGCACGGCTTGCAGACCGTGGACCAACGCTGCCCTCGTCTGATGTAAACTGGCAGGGTGTGCAGATCAATCGCCTTTGTCGGAGCAGCTGCCCATTATTGTGGTATCGACCGCTACAAAGTCAGAAACTGCATTGCTCGCCGCATTGAAGCTGTTTCGGCTGGTTCCCAACAGGCATCAGCATGGGGAGGTAGGACAGCATCCAGGTCTGAAGATGCCCGTAATCATAGTCTTCTTAAGCAGAGTGGCAGGGGGTTCATCGTGTTTGTAGACCCGTGATGGTAGGGAGCAGACTTTGCGTCAACGGCATGGCGCTTGCAGAGGGCAGAGCATTCAGCAAGGCCTGGTTACTTTGCCGTCCCAGTTGCACCGAAGCCCCGTAGCCGGTCGGCTACTGCTGCTGCTGCTGCTGTCACTTCTCTCAATTCCAAGTTGCTGCCGCAGACACCACATCTGATTCTCAGTCTCTTCATTGCACATGGGATCCGACAGCCACACTGCCAAGTTAGCTTGTCAGGAAAGAAGCTGAAGCAGGGCCTGGAAGTAGGTGTTTGTACTACCTTCCACTTCTCGTGTCGTTGTCGAAGCAGCGGACACGTATTGCCCTGGGCCCTGCGCCAACAGTTCTGAGAATCCACATGCAACTCTTGCGCACAACAGGAGGTCTTCGCCACGGTCAGCTTCGGTAGCGGCTTGTCTTATCATCGGTTGAGGCTGCCTCGAAGTAGGATGCCTGAACTGAAGACCAAAGTCGCCAAAAACGATGGCTTTGCTTGCCCGAGTTAAGAGTTCCTTCCAGCCTTGCAGTACTAAGGTTGGGAGTTGGCCCAGCAGTGCTGACCACACGTCTCCAAACTGCACGGCCACATGTTGCAGGCCGAGCCGCCAGCACTTGCCAATTGCAGCACGGGCCCTGCCAAGCAGGTCGACGTTCGGCATTCCATAACGTGTGCTTGAAGCAATGGCAGCGAGGCTTCGTCGCAGCGCGGGGGTCCTGATGCATGGGGCGGAGTGTTGACCACGCGCCTCCAAGACTCCACGGCCACATTTTGCGGGCCGAGCTGCCGACCAGTACAGCATCCGCAGCTACAGCGACCAGACTTCGGAAGTTCCGTTCTTCTCGGGCCTTGCGTGGCCCATGCCGCTGGCAGGCCTGGCTTCTTTCCAGCAGTCTGCTGACCTGCAACGAGATGGGCCTTTTCGGTGTACTCCGAGCAGAGAAGTGCTTGTCAAGGCCCGGCAGGGCTCGTGGCCAGCCCCAGACAATAGGGAAGTGACAGCTCCTGGCTGGCTCCGCTATTGGCGAACTGGGACATGGGTTGTGCGGACGCATCATCCTGTGGTTATCCGCCACAAAATGTGCATGCGTGACACTGTTCTTTGCAGCATTGGCCCTCATGTCTTGCCGGCCCGCCAAGCAGGTCGACGTGGCGGCATCCCATGACGTGTGCCTGAAGCAAGGGCTTGTCGCAGCACGGTGTTTTGATGCATGCGGCGGCTGAAGGGAGGATTGTCCAGGCTAGGGAAGTGACAGCTTCTGGCTAGCTCCGCTGTTGACCTTGGCGTTTTGACATTCCCAAATACTGCGTTGTGCGGACGCTTTATCCTGTGTTTGAAGTGTACCTGCCGCAGATGACCCCGTTTTCACAGCCTCGGCCCTCCTTTTGCCCGCCAGCCAAGCAGGTCGACGGGGCGGAATCGCATGCCGCGTGCCTGAAGCTGCCTGAAACTGGTTCCCTCATCTCAGCTCGATAGCTTTGGCGCTTCCCAACAGCAAGGTCTAAAAAGACTGTCCAGGGTCCAAGTCCAGGGTCGACGAGGCCCGGCAACGCGGACCTAGGTAGCTAGTTGCTCAAACTGTGCTTGGCACCGAAGTCTCCGGTGGCTAGCGGTTCGGAGACTACGCCTTCTTCTGGCAAAGATGCTTCTGCGCAGTTTTCTGCCTGTAGAGAAAAACGCATGAAAAAGCACTGTGGCAGATTCTGGCAGAGAGCATGGGCACTGCAAAGACATGCAGGTACAGTCCTTGCTGCTGAGCACCGGAGCGGGATGCACATGTGTAATGAAATTCAATCAGTATAAGTATCTATGATGGCCAAGAGCCAAGTCGTGCGCTCCAACTACAAGTCCCGCAAACTCTCCAGCACGAGACCGCCCTGCAGGGCCTTGCAAAGACCAGCCGTAGGCTGGCGACAACGGGAACTCCAAAAAGCTGCGATGGCTGGCGAAAAATGCGGCTTGCTGCTTAATGCAGCCGAGACGTCGCATGAAGCAAACAGATGCCGCGGGTCACCGGCGTTCCGCATGTCCTCACCGGTCTAGAACATGTCGACCGGAGTGTGGCTGCACAGTCGCCGTGGAGACTTTTCGAAGGGGTACAGCTACTCTTTGATTTTGATGTAGGCCATGTTTGCCTGCAGCAACCAGTTTCCGTACACGACAGGTTAGGCTGGGGCGTGCGGTTCTCGCAGTGTTCGCAGTAGTGGCTAGACAGGGACCCACACGTGCCATCCTGCACGTTTTGCCTTTGCATGTGTGCAGCTGGAGAAGGAGGTTGCAATCTCCTTTCCTGGGCCATCAGCTCCGTGCCGAAATCGAGCACGAAAGCTGTTGGTGGCATCCCTGGCTCCAGGGGGCTGCTACGACCCACTAGCCAGGCAAAGACACTTCGCCAGGCCAGCCATCACGATGGTCGTCGGCAACAGAGGGCACACAGCCTGAGAGGTGAGGCAGGCGAATCAACCGCGAGTGGTATGACCGAGGTGCTTCCACGACATTTGTGGCGGTCTTCACCTGGACGTTGAGCTCTGGCCGACATCTCAACGGCCGCAGTCTCGCATCACCATCAATGAATCTCCGAGGGGCAGCCTCATGTTA